TATTTGTCTTGGTATGGCACGATTTATAAAGGTAGAGTACTCTTTAATAGGAAATCAAGGTAAAAAGAACTAAAGAATGTGTCCCCTTATGGCTGGAGACCACGGTGGTCGGCCGGACATTTTCTTAGGATGGAGTTCATGTAAGCCAGTGCTCCATCGCGGCTGGTGGAGGGGGAAAATACTGGGGTAGCTTGAGTGAGAGTAAGTGCTTGCGAGTCTTGAGAGAGTGTGTGTGCACGGGGGGGGGGGGGTGCCTTTTTTGCACCTGTCGACACTTATGCCGCTTGTTTAAGCAGTGATTGACGGCAGTGGTACCGTTATGTCACGTTTGCCGAGTCGCTTTTATTGTGCATGTTTGTTGTGCTGTAATATCATGCTCTTGTCCCTGTGTGTGTTTAGCGCGCCCAACTGGGGAAAAAAAAAATCAGCCGGATAGCTTAGCAGCTTGCTAAAGAAGAAAATATTCGCATACCAGCGCCAGGATGCGGGGCCCGCATTTCTTACGTAAAATCCTCGACAGGGACGACGCCGTCAGCCACGCGACCTGACCTTGTCACGTCGCATGACTCTCGTGTGAGTCTCGCGTGACTCTCGTGTGAGTCTCGCGTGACTCTCGCGTGAGCCTCGACTTGACTTTGTCACGCGCGAGATCGACGTGGGCATGCGCTAGACCAGCGGCGAACGAGACAGCAAGACGTCTGCTCGGTGTCCCCAAACAAATTGGTCAAGCACTTTCTCTGCGGTACCTGTGAAGCGATCACGTGGGTCGGTACCTGGCAGGGAGTCATTAAAGGCCGTCTCTGACGACAACGGTGGAGGCAATTTGACGCGTATAGCAGCGTTTATACGCGGGCGCCTTCAGGCATCGACTGGCAATTATACGAGACGCTTTGAGAGGCTCAGAGAAACGTTGGGTTCTCTCCGGCACGAGTTCTAGAGATGAATATCGAGCTAGATGCCGCATGTATAAATGCCGATGCACCTTAACCGCAGATCACATTACTCAACGGTCGATGACTGCTCTCGTCGCTATATATCAGTTCACAGCGTGAATCACTTGTACGTTCACCCTTTTTTCTTTTGCCGAGCACAAGTTCGCCCGAATAAAACGTCCTATATTTCCCAGCCTGGCTGAGGCCTTCTTCACTATCATAACCGCGTGACTATACGAATATGGTGTTTTCCCTGCGCGAGAAGTGCACGGAAAGGTTGTGGAGGGTGGTCAAGGGGGGCTGCGTCGCTCCGGCAAGAATTAAGTAGTTTTACGTGCCGGATCCATAGTCGAGTGCGACATATACCGTTCGGAAACTCTATCCGGTTGTGCGTGTTCGCGTTGAAGTAATAGACAGCATGTAGTATGCATCTCAATGGTTGCTTTGAAGTCATAGACAGCACACTGTTTCCACCTCAAAGCTTGCGCTGAAGCTATATAGACAGAATGCTGTTTGCCTCTCAATGCTGGCGTTGCAGCCACGAACAATGTGTAGGTCGCTTCTTCTGCTGCAGCGGCCTTGTTTCATAACGCCATTACTTTGCTGGGCCACGCCAGGCTCTTTGCTAAACAAGTGATCTAGCTGGTAGGTTTACTTCGCGTAACATTTCAGTTTGTTGCTATCGCATTCCATGTCTCACCCCTTGCGTCCGAGCCGACCTTTCTGTCATTTCTCAATGTCATTAAAACTTTTTGCTTTTTCAACGCTGCGAAGGCAACGTGCTAGCGTTTCCATTCTTATTTCTTTGAGATTGCACACAGAACGATGCCTATGAAAAAAACATTCGGATCTGATATTTGCATGTTTCCATCGTCGACAGCTGCCGATATTTGTTTGGCTCATTTTTCTGCCTGTGTTTTGGTGGCATATGTACAGCTTAGCGGCCTTTTTTGTTAAAGTATTGCGAGTATAACAAAAACACTATTTCCGGAACACATGTGTGCGAATAAATTTTACTGGTACTGGTGCACACGTGTCCCCACCGTTCAAGGCCGCGTGACTGCAATCAGCTGAAAACAAAACGGCGGTGACCTAGCGGGATATATATATATATATATATATATATATATATATTGTAATGATAATAAATAGTGGGGCTCAGGAAGGGCGCAGGCTAGGTTACGGAAGCCGAGGAAGACGAAGTCAGAATAAGAACAGCCGGCCTGCAGCAAAGGCGTTGTCTCTTATTTCTCGTCGTTACAATGGCGCAGTCGACGAAGAAAACGGCTTACGTCTCGGTTTCGTCATCCAGAACGCCCGCCGACGTGCAGCCGCAGTAAGCGTCGCTTGAGGACGGCGTCAAACCCTCCTCGGCAGCTGTTTACTGACACCACCGTTCGGGGACGGCGTCAAGGCCTCCTCGGCGGCTCCAGCACCCGTTACCGGTACCAGTTCACGATAAGGAACGCCGTCACGCTTCTTCGCTGATGGAACCCGCAAGGCGTCCGTCGCGGCCAGCATCGATCCCAGCACCGACGGATGGCGTCCAGGCCTCCGTTGTGGTTCCGGGAAACTTGTCCTGGGACGCGACACGTCGCGGCAACCATGCGCACGGGCCTCTCTCACCTAGGGATGGCGTACATGCCTCCTCCATACCTGGCAACCTGTCGGCGCTTCAAGCACCCACCGTGTACGGCGTCGAGGCCTACCCGGCGGCGCAAGACCGCTTCATCTACGCCACAGTACCAGGTCACAACTCATCACACGGGTTCCGCTTGCCTGGGAACGTCGTTGACGCTTCCAGCGCCCTGGAACCCATGTCCACGATTCCTACCACAGCTGGATTTCCAAGGGACGCCGTCCACGCGTCCTTGGTCAGCAATTGTACCACCTCGAGTACCGCAGTCACTGTATCCTCCGCAGAGGCGGGCCTTGGCTCTTCGTGCGGATCACACGACAGCGCAGCGGAGCTGCAGCATACCATCGCGCAACTCCGCGTCACGACCAACGCCCTCATAGCGTCGAGCTCCCAGCTATGTCCTGCCATCTTGCCAACATTGTGCGCACTCAATGCCATGTTGGCTGCGGCCGCCTCACAAAACTTCGAGGTAAGCTCGCCCGAGAACCGTCGCAATCTCGGGCGTTCTCTCACGGAGGTATCAGAGCAAGTGAACTGCTTGGCGTGGGCACATCTCGGAGTTTTGCCCGCAGTCCCGCCATCGCCGATTTCCTTCGAGCTACCGGAGTTTCGCGGCTTCCAGGACGATGCCAAGGAATGGGTGGCAACCGTCAACGCTGTCGGAGATCACGCAGCGTGGACGGACCAAAAGAAGTGGGGCATGGCCATAGACCGCCTTCGGAATGCTGCCGCGGCTTGGCATCGATACGAAGGCGTGCGGCAGACGTCCTGGGTGGACTGGAGTGACAAGCTCATAGCTGCTTTTGGACGGAGTCACCATCACCTCTCCACGACCACCCAGTCTTACGCGACCGCTACCGAGAATAGATCCCAGAAGGAGACCACCCTCGCGGCTTCAGCTGTATTTTGCAGCTTCCCGACAGCCAATTTAACCACCTACCCTGGGACGAACAACCCTACAGTGTTGACCCTCACTTCGAAGCGACATCTCCTGATATCACGTCAGTCTGTGGCCGAGTGTGCGGACGTCTGCCACACGCTAAGCGCCGCCTCCTTCAAAGTCACTGTCAACAAAGACCTACCAGAGAAGGTAATACTTCCGGTTAGTGACAGGTCATCTCACAATGAAGGCTCTACTGCACGTGAAACTATAGGAATAAACAGCTTGGGCATGAGTCCGACAAAGGCAGTGCTGCAAGAGCACGCGTTGCCTCTCAAGCTGCAACCTGAACTCGGCTCTCAGATGACTACAAAGACACCCCGACGCCCCTTGCCACACCGCAAGCAACGCAGGCGTCGACGCTCAGTGCAGCAGGTGACGGTGCAGCGTGGACTATTTCCAGCATTTGTAACACGACTGCGACAGGATGCTCAAACCGACGAGATTAAACCAACGCGGCCACTTTGCAGGAGTCTGTATCTCCTGCTAGCGGCATCTTGTCCAAGTCAACAGCGTTGGCCCCATCGTGGACGACGCCTGCACCGACCATCACGTCACAGCCAGTGTCGTCCTCCGGAATCTCCTTCAACAAACTTCCATGTGAAATATCAGCTTGGCCGAGCCCGGCCACCCCGGAATAGTCAATGCCGCCCACCGGAGACATTGTCGGTAGCCCACGAGGCTCGCAGTCGGGGCCGAGTGTAATGATAATAAATAGTGGGGCTCAGGAAGGGCGCAGGCTAGGTTACGGAAGCCGAGGAAGACGAAGTCAGAATAAGAACAGCCGGCCTGCAGCAAAGGCGTTGTCTCTTATTCCTCGTCGTTACAATATATATATATATATATATATATATATATATAGTCTAGTAGATCCTCCGTGAGCGGTCACAACGTGGTTCATTTCGACGTTTCGGCCTAGAGTCTAAATAAACCACGTTGTGACCGCTCACGGAGGATCTACTAGACTATATGCAACGCTACGGCCACTCAACCACCATGCCTGCCTATATATATATATATATATATATATATATATATATATATATATATATATAAAGGAGAGAAGTGTATACCTAAGGGCTCGTATTTCCGTGTTTAACACAATATAATGAGATATAACAGACAGTAATGCCAAGGAATGTACAGGGGAAGTTATTACAACCAATGGAATGTAAATAAGAAGAAAGAAGAAAGAAAAGTGGATGAAAAATTACCAGCTGTGAGCAGCAATATATATATATATATATATATATATATATATATATTGCGTGTGCTCGTGTCAAAGCTCTGCCAATCGAGCTAGTTCAATTGGTAGAGCACTGGAGGACGCCTAATTCGAAGATTGCGGGGACCGACGAGCTCTGCACAAGTCGTAACAACTTAGCTACATTAGTCAATTACACGTTTCCCCCTTGTTTGACGGAACGTGCCAAAAATGTCTTGCGTGAGAGAAAGAGAGAAAAAAAACGATGCTCGTTTCCTCACACAAGCGCAACAGTTGACAACCCTTTCCCTCGCGCAGCGTGGGCCGGCCGCCTTCGATCCCGCAGAGGCGGCTACAGCGTTCACTGTAGCGACTTGTCCCCACCTGGTGAGCCAACATGGGTCGCACGTCGATAGCGGGGCCCCCTTCGTCCGAGGGGGCCCGTCAGGCTGAGCGCGTCGTCTCCTCCTCTGCGACCAGCGACGCCTCCATGAACGGCGCCAGGGATTCAGTTGCCATGGAGCCGCCGTGCGACGCGCAAGAGCGCCAGCTCGTTGCGTCCATCGCACGCGACTACCGATCCATCCTCGAGAAGCTGGGCGAGAACCCCGACCGCCAGGGTCTGAGACGGACGCCCGAGAGAGCGGCCAAGGCCATGCTCGCCTTCACATCCGGATACAGCCAGGACGTCAGAGGTGAGCGTCACGCATAGCCTGTATCCGACTGCTGATGGCGCCCGCAGTTGCTGTTTTTTTCCGAATAGCCCTCACAGACCCCATAATCGCCCGTACATGTCGTAACATGCCCATAATATCCATACATCGCCCCAAATCCCATATATGCACCCGTTATGCCCAGCATGGACACGGAAAGCAGAAAAGTAGGCCTGAAAATTAATATGCACAAAAATAAGGTAATGCGCAACAGTCTCGGCAGAAAACAGCACTTTGCGATAGGTGGAGAGACGCTGGAAGCTGTGAAGGAGTCTACTTAGGACAGGTAGTAACTGCGGAGCCGAACCATGACAGTGAAATAAATCAAAAAACAAGGATGGGGTGGATCACATTCAGCAAGGATTCTCAAATCATGGATGGTAATGTGGCACTAACCCTCAAAAGGAAGGTATAAAACAGTTGCATCTTGCTAGTATTTACCTACGGAGCAGAAACCTGGAGGCTTACAAAAATGGTTCGGCTTAAATTGAGGACGACGCAGCAAGCGATGGAAAGGAAAATGAATGCCGTAACCTTAAGAGACATGAAGAGGGCAGAGTTGGTCAGGGAACAAACCGGGGTTAAGAATATGATAATTAAAATCAAGAAGAATAAATGGACATAAGCCGGGCACGTAGCACGTACGTAGGATAACCGCTGGTCCTTAAAGGGGCCTTGCAACGCTTTTTGAGCATGGTCGGAAAATGGTGACGTTCCATAGTAAAGGCTACCGAGAACACGCGAGCCGAATTCCAGGTCACACAGCACGTGTTTGGAATTCAGAAGAAATTATCAAAGTCGCGAAAAAATTGCTTTCTCATCTCTCGAGAAATGACGGAAGACGCTTAAAACACTCGTAGAAGTCATCTATCAGTATTGGCTGATTTGAACATGGCGCGCTCGGTCGTTACTGAGATCGCCGCGGGAGGCCGTGACTTGTCCACGCGTGCGCGCGCGATCACACTGACAATGCCGCGTATTCAAAGAAAAAATATTGAAAAGTGCTCAAGGTCACGAGGCGCGCGTGACGTATTTTTTTTGCCCCTGCCATCTCTCCCTGCTTAGCTTCCAGTGCTTTCGTCGGGACGAGAGCAGAGAGAATGTGATTGCAGCGCGCAACAAATCTTTTGTAATTCCACTCGTACTGGACGGATTCTAAAAATTTTTGCGGCGTTAAATTCGTGAGGCAATAAGCGCTTCCAACGAATTCATTCTGTGGTTACTTAAAAAATGTTTCAGGGTCACAGGATTTCCAGAGAGGGCAAACGCCGAAGGGGAGACAGGAAGTTAGGTGGGCCGATGAGATTAAAAAGTTCGAGCGTATAACGTGGCAACGGAAAGCACAATACCGGGTTAATGTGTGGATCATGGGGCCTTTGCCCTGCTGTGGGCGTAGTCAGGCTGATGATGATGATATGTCCTTATATGCCCTTAAACTTCCTTGACATTATCACCTGTTGGTTTCATTAGGTTGTTGAAGTTAACTGTTTTTTGAAGTCAAAAAGCTGTTACAATGAGACGATGTGGCTTTAAACAGCTTCTGTGTATTTCTACTACGTCGCGTGCGCCTGCGCCCAAGGTTGGTACGCCTATGTCGTGGATGGCTCGTCCCATCGTCATTACTCTCTCGACACATGAAACAATTAAGCTAAGTCACCGAAAACGTCACTGCGCATATGCCCGACCGTGCCGAGTAACAGTACACGTCATTTCTGAGACAAAGTTTAGATAGAAAAACTATTTAACGCCAAAATCTTAGTGACCTGGAAACTGCAGGCACGATTTCATGAGGACGCGGAAATGTTGCTCAAGACGCGCTGAGGAGCACAAGATCATTACGTCACGCAAAGGCAGCCCTACTTTAATACGTACTACAAACGCAGGCTTATATGTACATTTATATGGACTGATATCTTTCACTATAGAGAAGCGAACAATATTTTGTAAAACTCACAGGAAAATGTTTGACCGCGCACAATAATCTACGATCACATGACAGGGTACATCGAATATTTCAAGTTTTTGCCACCAGAGGCGCCACAGACCATTTTACGCGATTTTGAATGAATAAATAAAAATATAACTCCACTTCTCACGAGAAAAACAGGGTTGGATTAAGTCACTATGAGGGACAATCTTTTCATCCGTATAGTCATCTCACTTCATGTTCTAGGCAGTTGTCGGTTTCTTTAACGTGAGAAGCAAGAAATTCTTGGAATGCACGTGTATTTGGATACACAAGTACTGATTGATTGATATGTGGGGTTTAACGTCCCAAAACCACCACATGATTATGAGAGACGCCGTAGTGGAGGGCTCCGGAAATTTTGACCACCTGGGTTCTTTAACGTGTACCCAAATCTGAGCACAGGCGCCTACAACATTTCCGCCTCCATCGGAAATGCAGCCGCCATAGCCTGGATTCGATCCCGTGACCTGCGGGTCAGCAGCAGAGTACCTTAGCCACTATACCACCGCGGCGGGGTGCAGTGATTCCTGTACACCGTACAGTTTCATATTTTTGCACTACAGGGAACTCTGGCGCTAGTGTCTACGGGAGTGCACTGCGCTTCGGCCAGCACGAGAATGATCGGTAGTATATTCTCATCTTCGTTACTTCGGCACCCTTTGGCTGCGTGTGGTCTGAATCCGCTTTGCTGCAAGAGGAAGTTCAACAAAACTTATGTTACGCTTCACCAGCTCAACCTAGGCCCACCAATTCAAATGGGCTCACGAAGTTCGCAACGGTTCGTTCTTTTATTCGAAACTGAAAAACCAAAACTCGACAATAAACAGAGCCACAAGTGTGTTCGAAGCCCGCAAACGAGAAGACTATGCCTACCATTGCCATGGTGACTGAACGATCGCAGCGCCACAGTTTTTAGAGGACCCTCTTCTCCTCAAATGGTGGCGCGTTTCGACTGATAACGCACGCCAGGACAAGCGCGTGCAGTCAGTCGTAACGCGTCATCTTCGCCTTATTTGTAATAAAGGCAAGATAATGGGGATACAGGACCAAATCGATAAAACAAAATGTCTCAACAGCCTCGACAAGTGCAAGTTTCTGCGTTTTTCACTCGTGCAAAGCGGAGCAGCATGTCCCTTAGGCCACGCGTGCTCCTGGGCATCCATACTACTCTAGAGCCTCAACTGCCAAAAGTGCCCCGCCACGGTGGTCTAGTGGCTAAGGTACTCGGCTGCTGAGCCGAAGGTCGCGGCATCAAATCCCGGCTGTGGCGGCTGCCACAGCCGGGAAAAAAAAGATCAGGCAAAAAGAGCGTCTTTTTGTCCCACAACAATAATCGGCATCTGTCCTTCGTTACTCTCCTTGCACGGGAAATGTTGTAGGCCCGTGTACTCCGATTTGGGTGCACGTTAAAGAACCCCAGGTGGTCAAAATTTCCGGAGCCCTCCACTACGGCGTCTCTCATAATCAAATAGTGGTTTTGGGACGTTAAACCCCACAAAGTCAATCAACTGCCGAAAGTTGTCGACCCACAGAGAAGGCCGTCAAGGCCGGCTGCTCGCGCGCTCCGCACAAGCGTGGACGTGGCTGTGTTTTTTTTTTTTTGGCGCGTATATGTTCGCAAAAAGAATAAATATATCGGGGGAGGGCCTCAAGAACCCAACGTTCCCAATTGCATACTCCGATGGTGTTCGACGACAATCGTGCACAACTGCGTGCATATATATATATACGGTAGACTCACACGTACGACTTCATTCCTTCGGCAATGTGTGCAGAAATGAATGAGCATGCAGGCTGTCACTGAAACGGAGTGCCCGCTGCGAGACGCGTGGCCTTTTGCGATATGCCATGGCTCGCAATCATATCAGCTCGCTCTTTTATCAGAACGAAGAAAGGGCGCAGGAAACAGGCCGGGTTGATAGGCCTCTTCCTCGGCGGGGAACGCGCGACACTTTATAACTGGCTGTGGCTAATCAATCATCATCAACGAGCCGACCTCGGGCGAGGATTATCTCGTCCGGCTGTCTCATAGCTGGAGGTGAGTAAAGACAAGCTGGAAGAAGGCGACGACTAGATAAGAAGGCCCTACCGGGGCAGCCCTCAACTCGTTATCTCTTGTTTTTGGCCAAAATCTTCAAACGGTCCCAGGTGGTTGACTCCAATTTCCTTTCGCGTAAACACCTATATACTATTCACAAAGCCATATTTAGTTGACGGTCGTTCTGCCAGCCAGGAGCGTAGCCGGAAATTGCTTTTGGTTCTTTTATGCATTGCATGCTCATGCGTTTCACTGTCTAAAGTGGCGTAAATAGAGAAAAATCTTGTTTATACACCATTCCACCATATATATATATATATATATATATATATATATATATATATATATATATATATATATATATATATATATATATATATATATATATATATAGTCCCACGCACTTGCCCTTATCGTAGGTGATAGGAGGTTGACAGTCACTGAAGCGAGGGGGATTTGCTGCCACAGGCTTTGGAAGGGGGTACTTCTGCAGCCCCCATCTAGATCCGTCATTGCTGCATTGGCGCTTGATGGCTTCATGTGACGTTTGGGCTTTTGCGCCATGCAACGTTACCGTGAAGGTGAAGCCTCGTTGTATCACGACGTGCTGCTGGTCCGCCGTGCATTCGTACAGCGTAGCAATCGGAAGCTATGCGACAACATGGAAACGGCTGCAATAGAAGGGGGGTAAAATCTGCTGCAAGTTGCCGTGCAAAGGTGTATTGTCCGCATGACCCAGTCAGCTGTTGGGCGCCCATTCTTGCAATGAGCGGCGTCTCCACTTTCACCTGGCGTCGGCGCAACCGATAGAGCAAACGCGGGCGAAAGAGAGCGAACGCGGACGAAAGAGAGCGAACGCGGGAGCACAGCCTCGCTTCCTTCCTCCGCCCCTCGGTCGGAGCTCGTGCGCAAGCAGGACTGTCACTGCGGCTGGCTTCAATTGTCGCAACGGGACTGTTTAGCTTAATTCGGGAAGCCACAGAGTGTTACGCGTAGCACTCGAGAGTTCCTGCGGCAGTATGTAACTAACGGTCATATTGCTACCCCCAACTGCGGATAGCCAAAACTTCAAGCACAATTGGTGTACATGAATCTGGGCTCAGAATTTCGCATTAGCTGGGTAGCACACTGCGAAATGCCAGACGCGAAAAAAGCCTGCTTTTCTCGTAACGTCAAGTTCGGCGTTAATTTTTTCCTTCATTGAAACGCTAGCCCGTATGACGGGCCCAAACTATTTGCTTCGAAAGAATGTTCGTGGCTTGGTCTTCCGTATGACCCAGAGTTAATATATTATAGTTTCAGAGAGGCAGACCAACCTGTTGCAGTTATTCACTTAACGCAATCCACTTTTGCAAGCTACTAAGCCCGAGAATCAATGTCGGCCCTCGCTTTAAAAGGTTACCCGCTACTTTTTTTTGTTGTTGTTGTTGTTGTTGTCCTGACATGTCACATGCACAACGACTGTTCTGTAGGGAGTTTGATTGGATATGTGGCGTTTAACGTCTCAAAACCACCATATGATTATGAGAGACGCCGTAGTGGAGGGCTCCGGAAATTTCGACCACCTGGGGTTCTTTAACGTCCACCCAAATCTGAGCACACGGGCCTGCAACATATCCGCCTCCGTCGGAAATGCAGCCGGGATTCGATCCCGCGACCTGCAGGTCAGCAGTCGAGTACCTTAGCCACTAGACCACCGCGGCGTGGCTGAAGGGAGTTAACTTGTACCTTTAAAGAAAGCCAAGTCGTTATTTTAATGAAAGTGACGATAACATTCCTTTTATTTAAGTGTTTAACAGATAATATACAGCTTTTTTCTCTCTAAAACTCCAAACGAAGAAGTCACGAACGGACTGATGTATCACCGCCCGACCTAACTGATAGTATAGTGCAAGTATGGTGCCCGATGTAGCAAGAACGATGTGACAAACACTTGCCCCGCCGCGGTGGTCTAGTGGCTAAGGTACTCGGCTGCTGACCCGCAGGTCGCGGGTTCAAATCGCGGCTGCGGCGGCTGCATTTCCGATGGAGGCGGAAATGTCGTAGGCCCGTGTGCTCAGATTTGGGTGCACGTTAAAGAACCCCAGGCGGTCAAAATTTCCGGAGCCCTCCACTACGGCGTCTCTCATAATCATATGGTGGTTTTGGGACGTTAAACCCCACAAATCAATCAAAACAACGATGTGACAAACAAAAAAAGAATGAAAGACTCTACAGAGTATACAGTTGCTATATGACTTGTGCCTCGCTAAACAAAAAGAAAGCGTCTGTCACAGAGCGCTTGTCACAAACATTTCGCAGTGCCGGGCCGATCGAACCGAGCGTAAAACAGTAAGTTTAAAACAACCAACAACAAAAACGTCAGAATAGTGTAACAACAAGAAAAGGCGACAAACTAGACGAAACGAAACACGGCGTTACCGCGCATGAAAGAGCGAGATGAGGTCAAGAAACAGCGGGCGGCAATGTGGCTGAAATAAAATAGAGAAATAAAGAGATACAGCTTTGCACATCACAATTGTAATTTGTGTCCGTGCGATTGCACTGCATTTGAAGTAAAAAAAAAAACCGTAGCACAGCAACGTGCCGCGCTGTTCAGCCACGGGTGCGGCTGCGTCGCCTAATAATAGCGGCGCAATCGGCAAGGCTAGCGATGTAGGGCATGTCGCTTTTACTTTGACGTAGCGTCAGTAAAGAATCGAGACACACAGGGAAGGAGACATCTGACGACACACAGCGATAACTTTCAACAAAACGTTTCGATAAAACAAATAAACATTTCGTTGGTGGTTAGTACTGTGTGTCATCATATATGTCTGTGCCCCATGTATGTCCTCGTTCTTTACTATTACGAAGTGGCAGTGGCTCAAGTTCTCATGAAATCCGGGCCACTCTCGTATTCGGAGGTCACGCAGAAAAAAAAAAAAATCGGCAAATTGCGCCAGCTGCCTCGAGATTCGGCTGGCGTGCCGCAAATGGTCAGCTGCGAAAGCGTGAGCACCCTGCGGCGCAGCAGGTGTCCACAGCGACCATAGGGAAACGAGCAGGGATGTTTAGGGAAGGAAAAGAAACGGGGAAAGGGAATGGGGTTACGCAGGGATGCTACCGGAGTTGCCAGGCAACGGCCGAGAAGCGAGAGCAAGTTGCGACGTGGGGCCAGGCCCCGACGTTCCTCTACTCGGAGGACATCAAGAGAATAATGTTTCAGTCGAGACTCCTCTCCCTTCCATCGCCCGCGAGCTGCCAGCGGCAGGACTATGCGATCGATCTCCACGTTTCGTCGGAAGTCACTGAGGGGGCCACGCGAAGAAAGAAAGAGAAGCAGGATGAACATCAAAAGTGCAACCGTCCTCAGCGTGGGCGGCATGGAAGCCGTGGCCAGAAAGGTTGAAAGTACACATTTTGGCCAAAAGCAATCTTGATACGACGCCACTTACCTACCGCGGCCTCTTGCGTTCCTCGATTTCTTTATTTTTTTTTTCTTTTGCGCGGCGTATAATCCGAGCATCCATTCCCATCCGGGGGGAAAAGAACGCAGTGCAGCGTACGGCATTATTCATTCCTCAGCGTACCGCTCCTTCATTCACTCACGAGCAACGGGGCGAGCTTCCCTGAGACGATGACCGCGAATAATGAGGACAGTCCGGCTGCGTCGACGTATGAACGCGTTGGCAGAGATTGCTGCGATTTAGTACCGCACACAGCTCGCAGCTTTACCGTAAAGCGACACGTATAAAAATAGCGAATAACTGACAAAAACAGGGAAAAAAAGACGGCGTGTTGTGCACTCTTTATAAAAATATTATGTCAGCTTGGACTTATGAGAAGCATCCTCTGAAAAAGTCTTTCTTGCCAATTTGGGGGTAAAAGTTTAATTATTTGGAATATTAACCGACGCGAACTTCTTGAAAAGGTGTAAAGATCGACCCGTTGAAGGTTTGCGAGCACGCTGAAGGCGAGCAAATGAAAACTAGGAGGAGAAGGAAAACATCGAGAAAATTTTCCCTACCTCGCTGCTTGTGTGTGTGTGTGTGTAGAGTGAAAGGGGAGACACATGATTGAACCTCTCCAGCCCTATGTTCCTGGAGAACGCGTACGTTCATGTGTTTTGAAAGATATGTATTGACTATAAGACTATAGACTATTAAGACTATAAACAAACTGAGTAATTCGAACAGTCTCGTTCACATCGCCAGGTCGATCTCTATATGGTCGTAATCGTAGCGACGCCCTCTAAGTAAGCAAAAACGACCCTGATTCACAATGACCCACGTTGCTAAATGTCGGCCCAAGTCCGCTGTCTGGTAACAGCAGCATAATTTCCGATCCATGATTAGGCTGTGTACCGAATTCTTAACGCACATTCGTTTCTTGTTCCCGATTGACGAGGGCGTTCGAAAAAGCCGTGTCGAGAAAACGCGCGAGCTCTTCGACCGGAACCGACTCCGAATCTCCTGCAACCGCAGCGGTATGAGGGGCGAATCCCGCACCAGAATGGGAAGTGCCGATTCTAAGGGGTACAAATCGAGCCCCGCACAATGCACATTTAATACGCCTGTGCATACCGAGCTTATTACACCTTGCTGTTGGGCTAGTTAGTACTACGTCATTTTGAAGATTGCGCGTAAGATGGTACTTCCTCATTCGTACACGCAAGTATCCTCACGAGGCTGTATATAGGGTGTGATACTCCCGCGAGTCTGAGGGAGTGTGGCAAGTTGCGCTCAATTTTCTAGACACCCAGCTCAGTCGCGCGGCTACAGGGTGTAAAAAGAAACAAAATATGTTCACGTTCTCCGCAGAGGTCGTCAACGATGCCGTGTTCTTGGAGGACCACGACGAAATGGTCATCGTCAAAGACATCGAGATGTTCTCGCTATGCGAGCACCACTTGGTGCCCTTCATCGGCAAGGTGTCCATCGGGTACCTGCCAAACAAGAAAGTGCTGGGGCTCAGCAAGCTGGCCAGGTGGGTTGCTAAGAAAGAAATGCCCCTTACCGCCAGGAAAGCTGCCGTCCTGTATGATGTCGCGAAGGCTCTTCCCAGTGCCATCTTTATCAACGCTGGCATGACAGTCGTCGACTGACTGAAACGCGAAATTTCAGGCACTCACTTTCGTTTCCCACGCCTACAGTCCGCGTCATATCTCCGTAGTTTCGACTAGAGCGCCGGAGCCAGCGTTACTTTTCACGGCTGGATTTGCAGCGATATCACTCAGTTATCGCGAGCAATCGCTTATATCAGTCGTCAAACTAAAACAAAACAAAATGGCGCGTTGAAATCTAGAACCGTCGCACCTTTAAAGCACGTACTGGTCCCAAGCGGCCACGATAGAAAGTCGCGCATTTTTCTTTTATCCAACACGTGCCAACTGCTCCCGGTGATTATTTCGTATCAAGATTCAGAAAGGGCACTGAACGACGAACCTGCAGGAGATCATTCAGTCAAAGAACATTATTTACGCAAGTACGAGTACGTGAAAGCAAGCTCGAATACCTTGTGCGCTTTCAGTTTTTGTTGGTGCAACATGGCCACATGTTTCTTGCTGGAAACGCCCGCTTTAGCAGTTTGGGGTATTTTGTCCTTTCGCGCTGAAGTTGGCTTCAGTCGGCAGAACTCCAATTCGTATATATACAAAAAATGTGGCGTCAACGAAGCTTAATTGCGTACCACGTGGAAATTAATTTGATTGTGATTGACTAAAAGTTATAGTGAAGTGCGAGCCCGGAAGACCAAAGACTGTCATAAAGGGCTCGCAAATGGCCTTGAACTGCCCTACGGTAAAAGCGGGACGAGGATTGAACCGACTGTAATATCGCTGAAATCCTCTTGTCTTTTGCAGGATCGTGGAGGTATTCAGCAGGAGGCTGCAAGGTACGTTTGCACTGCTTTTCGCCCTGCTCTGCCTATGTTCACAACTGCATACCGCAGTAGAATAGACTATTTCCCGCAAAAAACCTGGGCGCCGCCATGCTGGGCCTAAGCCGGTGTTTTCTTGTTTTTGGATATCGCGACGTGAATAAGCGCATGTAACATCGTATGCAACATCGCAACCGTATTCATGCGTATGCGTCTACCGTAAGTGTCCATTTATTTAAAGATACAAAACACAAAGGTTAACAACCCAACTTGGTGACATTGAAACCCATTCATAAAGTAGTGTATACGTGCTGTGGCATTGGTCGGTGCATCTTTCAGCAACTGTGGCAGTGGCAGGGTTATCGCTATACTACGAAGGAAGTCTATCGCCACAACTAATATTATTACTTGTGTCAATAACTCCCTTCGTAACTCCTACAGTTACGCGACCTAACAAGCGTCACGTACGTATAGAGTCATTAGAGCGACATGTATACCTGTACACCATGGCAAGCAGAACCGCGAATCGGCGTGGCATAGGCCACGGGGGGACGTGTTGTGGGGTGAACCCCCCCCCCCCCCCCCCCCTCCCTTATCACTCCCTGAAATGTTTCCACTTTACTTGCGTATATATACACGCACACATACAAACGAATGCATGAATATACATAAGGCACGGTTGAACACCTAGCCCCCAAAAATTTCTGGCCATATGCCCCTGGTTACCCCACTTACACCTAGCGCCACAATCCCAACCAATCACATTGGCAAACGGGACACTGGCGATATAGAACATATAGGCAGCGGTATAGATTCGTGCTTATACGTCACGCCACCCCAAGCTGTTGAGATGCAAGTACTCTCCCGATCGCAAAAGACTTTACTTAACACGCAATGTAGTACGTTGCTTAGCGGTATTTGGTCTAGCACTAAGCCAACTTCACGACATACGGTCTTGGTCATCTGTTCCCTCTTTTTTTCTTTTCTCCTCGCAGTACAAGAGCGGCTAACGAAACAAATTGCGATGGCAGTAACAGAAGCAGTCGGCCCTACTGGTGTCGGAGTGGTGATACAAGCAACGTAAGTGGACGCTGCAGCGGCGCGTGATGCGCTATCATCTAGGCTTGAACTATCAGAAACCACTGCGAGTACGAGGGAGGCCGAAGACGAGGGCTCTGGAAACTTCGAATAGCCTGAAGCAGGAGCGGCGCCAGCGGTTAGGGTACAACAAAAATTGTAGTCAATGCTCCCCTCCCCTCTCCAGAGGGGAAGTCATGGCGCCGCCCCTGGCCTCAAGAATTTTCGCCTCTTGTCAATGTAGCTAGCAGCCGCGGCTTATATTCGGCCCCGCGACCTGCGGGTGAGCAGCCGAGCACCATAACGAAACGATAGAGGGCAGCGCAGGGTCTATGCGAAAAAAAAAAAAAATGAAGCGGGTATGCAATAAGTATGGCTAATGCCCGAGTCACAGTGGTGCCACTTTCGTAATAGAACGTTATACCCAACCCTAATGCTTAGCTCTGACAACGAAGCTAACAAACCTATAGAATACATCAATAGCATGTCGTAACGGTAGCACAGCAATTTATACCGACTCACAGTTACCGAATTTACAACCTTCACGTCTGTTAGGTTGTGCCCAGCGGTAGGAACAGTCACTTCACGCACACTCACGGCTAGCCTACTTTTGGCGTAGTATAAAACCACAAATTTGCTCGACTGCGCTACCACAGCTACACTGAGATATACGACATCCGACGGCGTGAAGAGACCGGAAGTCCTTATCAGAAGCGTGCTGGCGTAGTAGCGACTTTGCAAGCTAGTTTGTTCATCGAAAGGTAAACATCCGACTTACCCGTTCAGTTGCGATTTTCTTTAACTTGGGATTCGCCCTTCTGGACGGCGTTATATAGCAAGACCATAGCAAGAGCGCGACCATAGCCAGAGCGTGTACATCGCATGCATGCCACTGGCACGCTATCCGGTGCACCTTATCCGAATAGCGCATGCTCGGAGCACCACGAACGCCTGACTGTTAATTTAAGTACATTGGCTACTTTTCTTCGAGGCGGTATTCCGAATCTTTCGCAGAATTATCTTCTATTGTTCGCTGTCCAGCAGATAGTCTCTCCTTCTTAAGACTGACTTTCCGTATCCCACGACATACTTTAACAGAGTTCGATGCACAAGTTGCTTCATCTACATACGACACAGAATGTGTGCCGGCCACGCCCATTCGATTTACATTTGCGAGACATTAATCGTTGCCCGCTTACCGCCTTTTAGTTATCAACTTACTTCTGCCCATATTCACATACCTGCGTTGCTCCCGCTGGAGCAGTGCATAGAAGTCAATTGCCACTTCTCTCACTATCTTCGGACGTTTTGTCCTGGGTCTCAACACGTATATGCCCCGAATATGCCTCAGTAGGCTCGGCGACACCACTGCTATTTGTTTACTACACGAATTATCTCCCCCCCCCCCCCCCCGAGACTACGTCTAGGTGCATTACTTACAGGTCAGCATTTTCTCAACGGTGTCGATGTCTGTTCTTCCATGCGCAGGCACATGTGCATGGTGATGCGGGGCGTGCAGAAGGTGTCCAGCAAGACCATCACGAGCTGCATGCTTGGAGTATTTCGGGAAGACCCCAAGACTCGCGAGGAATTCCTCAAGCTCGTGCTCGGGGGCCAGTGAAAAAGAAATGCCAGTCGACAACGGGAGGAAGAAGGGTCGCCACCCAGATTGAAGAAAAAAAAAACCGTGTTTTTTGGCTTTTATTTCGTCGTGACAACGTGTGACGCCGGGGGGGCCTTGTCGTAACCGTCGACGAGACGACCCCCGGCAAAAAAAAAAAAAAAGAAACAATAAAAACGCTGTGTGAGAAGAAGAGCACTCGCTTAGTAGCACAAGCACTCTCGCTCTCTCTCTCTAGGCCGGCCAATTCAGCGACACAGGAAGGAAGGGACGGCCAGTGCGAAGTAGTAGAAGTAGCGAGTCGACCCGGGCCGGCCGAGTGTCGACTGCGTCAGCGCCTCAATTGTAGCCGCTGCAGAGTGGAGAGGAGAGAAGGCACCGTTGTGACGCTAGCTCGAGGCGCTGCCGGCGACGCCGGGTTGTTTTAGGGCGAAGATCATGCATACAGGCGACCCCAGTTTCCCTTTTTTTTAATGCGAGCAGAGTTCGTTTCACAGCGGGTGGTGGCGCCGCCCCTATAGTCTTATTTCTTTTCAGCCATACTTAGAGCTAACGAATGCTGCAGAGCTGTAAAAAGCTCTATGCAGTCTCACATAAGAACAGATAATGGCACTCCAAAGGACCCGCGAAGCGGTCGAAAAACTAGGCCTTTCAGTACTAACGTGGGAGCAGGCCGCTTGAAGCGCTACGAACCTAGCGCGTGCACTCGTTGATTGCATTAAACTCCACACTAAAAATGAATGATCGCGAGGCTTAACTCGTAATACCGAACTACGCTAGACTGGCTGCTTGGGTGTATAACGAATTAGAGGGCTCCGAATCGGTTACGACGACCTGTTGGTAACAGTAACGCACACAGGCGAGACGACAATGCAACTGCCGCGGCTGAAGCTCGGGGTGGCGAACGAGAACGGTTGCGGTGGTGTGTCAGGTTGTTCCAAGGACAGTCGCTTGACTCCTGGACCCCACGGGAGGAACCACCGGTGCGAGTGACATCGTACTGGCTGAACTGCTTGCTTTCGCTGGGCGTTCGTTATAAGCACGAAGAAAGTTCGTCGGGGGCACACGTTGTGACGCAGTATCGACGTTAGTAGGCCTGACAAGTAAATAGGCGAGCGAGACACTGTGGCGTAGTTGAAGAAAACACTTGGGTACTGCTAAGGAGGTGTACTGAGCGTTCGCGGCACAGAGTTCTTCTCCTCGGCCAGTGACGATTGTCGGGTGTCGCCGGAGACGAATCGGGGCGGTTCATCCGCCCTCGTCGTGTTAAACACTGGCGCGCAGAAGGCACAAGCCGTCGCGAACGCTCGGGTACAGTCCGCGATGGTGTTAGACCGCGACGCGCGTAGCTGACGTCCTTCGACTGTCGCCGCGTCTAATCTACATAGGCTAGCGCTCGCGAGCCCTCGACGTTGCCCTGACCTACGATCACTCGTTGTTACGACAGCAGGGACGTACTTAGATGCTCGGGCAGTTCATCTGCCCCCTGTTCTTTCTTTTTTTCGACCTAATCTGGCGCGCGCAGCACACACCTCCGCGATCAGATCCCTCCTCGAACAGAATACCTCTGTGCTCCCAAGGGAGATCGGCTACGGTACCGCGGGCTGGAGCCGGTGCCATAGTCCTGGCAGCCATCGTCGCCGGCACCACCGTAGCGGTCGTCGTGGCCCCACGAGTCGTAGCCGCCGCCTCCTGGGCCGCGCCTGGCACCTCCGCCACCGTAACCTCCGCCGCCGCGGGGTGGGCCCGATCGGTAGCCTCCTCCGCCGCCGGGGGACGGCCTCGGGGGTCCTCCGCGGTACCCGCCGCCTCCGCCGCCGCGGGGTCCTCCGCGGAATCCTCGGGAGCCGCCCCGCTCGCGGGAGTACTCGACCCGGAGTCGCGACCCGTTGAGCACGACGCCGTTCATGTTGCGGATGGCCTCGTCGGCGTCCCGGTCGTCGTCGAACTCGAGGAAGGCGAAGCCCGGCGGGTTCTGGGCAACCCAGACCTGGTTGAGGCGGCCGTACTTGCCGAACTCCCGCTCGAGGTCGTCCTTGGCCATGTTGTCGCCCAGGCCGCCAACAAAGATCCGCGTCTGCGGCTTCCGCTCGTAAGACTACAAGTGCAGAGAACAGGCACAATACTCTGGCTCTAATCTATGGTTAAAAATAATACAAGCGATTTGCGTGGCTCTCTGCTTTAAATGGACACCAAACAACGACTTAGTTTAGTTGTGAAAACTAGTCACCAGTTTTACTATCATAAGCGGAGAAAGTCAAAGCTGGCGTTTCATTATTAAATTTCGTACCGAAATCTCCGCGCATGGCGTCAAAATGCATTTTTTCGTATTTTCGAGACATTGGCTCGACGAAATTTTTTAAACTTCGTATGCTAGGTCTACGGCGGAAAGGCACGAAATTATACTCAAAGCGTACTATACGCCGCCTTCCTCGAGATCATTGAAGGATTCATGTGGTTAAAGGGACACTAAAGTAAACAATAGGTTTAGATCGCCAAAGTTTGCTCGGAACACTAATGGCAATTTCACTATCGTAGCTTCAATAGAGGAAAACCTCAATGTCAGTGTCATTATTGAATTTCGCGCCAAAATCTTCACACATCGGGAATTTCAAAGTTATTAAACGTTGACGGCATTGACCCAACAAATTTCTCTATAGCTTGGTGTCAGACTAACACACGGCTGAGCATTTACCTAAACAGTAATTCACAAATATCAGATAAACCGGTTTGCTCTCTGGCGTCCCTTTAACAATCGTTTTTTTTTTTTTTTCATTACGGAATCTTTACGTTTAGCTGAGCAGCTGTGTCGAACATTTCACAAAATTTACGACCAGCCTTGTACAAAAGCATGCGCTTGTAGGGGACAGTCCACTATCTGATACACTTCGAAGTCATTCACGTCGTTAAAATGCCTAAGCAGTATTGGGTGGTGCATTTACAGCGATGGTTGTGGGCGGAGCTAACGTCGCCGAGGCTGCAACCGAGTACAACCTACGTTTTTCCCTTAGCTCCCTGCTCGCCATTTTTGTATAAACCTGCTCGTTCAATGCTGCTGAATGTATTTCCTAGGAACGAAGCTAGCTCACACAATTTGTTTACTTCCTCGGAAAATAATTTTATTTAAACTCGATAGCTTTGCAATTTATGTGCTATTAGAATACACAAGACATCTCGAGGTATACTACATGGAGTCGCGCGCTGTGGCGCAGAAGGTAGCGGCGCACATAGAAACACCGCTTATACACTGTACACAACTTTTGTGGTGCCCCATATTTCAAAAAAAAAAAAAAAAAAACTCTTACAACCATTATTTCTTTTTTGCGCAGCTCCACAACAACCGATTAAAACTTACAGCAGGTACTGTCAGCAGGCCACCGTAAGCGGCCTCGGCGATTAGCAACGGCGCGTTCAGACAACGCACCGCTGCTGAACCTAAATCTCGGAAACCGTGGCCGATAACCTCAACAACATGGTGCACGTCACGGTAGGCGGCGCAGTAATGCAGTTTTTTAGTGTTCCGCCACGCGCTGCACATCCCGCATCCTTTTGCTGTTTACAGTACGTCACGACTCATCCTACTAATCTCCGTGGCGTACTAACGAAAAGGTGAAAATGGAAGTAAATCATACTGGATGAAAAACAAATCGCAATATATCCACGAAGTGAATGATGAGTGAGGCCAAGCGTCCGTCTGGCCGGTTACACCCGACGCAGGACAAGGTTAAAGGAGCTTCGCCCCCAAAGAAGTTAGTTCGTCTAATCGGTGATTGAAGCTGTTGGCTAGCAAAAAATTGGCAGTAACCATCTTAAAAGGCTTCAACTGACCAACAGGGCTCGCGAATTTTTTCCACCCTAGGCACTTTTCAAAAGTGCGAACCGATTATCGCGGCGGCGCCAATGACATTGCGGCTGATTAAAACGAGCCGACGTGCGGGGCCACTTGTTTTTTTACTTTAGCAGCGAGTTGACAAGAGGCACAAATCGTCAGGAAGGGGGTATGGCCGATAAGGGAAGAGCCAGTGTTGCGACGTCAGCCTACTTCTCTTATCTGACAAGACTGGCAGGGGCACAACAATAAACGCTGACATGGCCGCCAACGGAGCGAAAACGAATCCATCCATGCAAAATCGCGTAGCTCGCTATAGGACTCGTCAAAACCGTAATTGCATCATCCATACCTGCCAACCTTGCAACAGAAATTCGTAAAACCCCCGAGTGAGGAGGGGGGGGGGGGAGTACCGACTTTTTTTTTTAATTTGTAGCTGTGATGGATTTGCCTTTAGCGACAAGCGTAATCGTGTTTTGCCGCCATATTTCAAATCGACGCGCTGATTTATTTTTTTCCACTTCGGCACAAAAAAAAAAACATCGCGAAAAACAAGAGGCGGGGGGGGGGGGAACCCGAACGCAACCGCGAACATCGGCGTTGCGGTCTCACAATGGCTTGGAGCGGCCGAACTCACGAGGATAGGGTTTTCCACTAAAATGCGGGTTTCGAAGGGAGTGCGCAAATGCTCTCGAAATTTCGCGTCATCGAAACAACCAGCAACAAAATCGATTTCCTTCAAAACAACTCGTCTTCACGCGTGAACGAACGGGACGACGCAGGTGGCTGCCGCGAATGCGCGGGTCAAAGCTTAGCTCGCCACTAGAGTCTTTTGGACAGGAATAACGAAACGCTTCTAGCCCCCCCCCCCCCCCTTTTTTTTTTACGTCTTTACTGCCTTTGATCTACAGCTGCGTCACATTCACGTGCCCCTGAAGCTCGTATATCGCGGTCACGGCAAACGGTAGTTTTGTTTTCAATCCACGTGCCTTCAACACCAAGTCGTTTTCCCGCCATCAATGATCGCAACTGCCGCGGTTTTGTCCGCAGAGTTTGGGGAAAGCAGCGTTACTTTGACTCGTCGAGCGTTCGCCGCGCGCACACTCTCGCAGTTACATGTCAGTAACGCCATACACTATCGCGTCGACCGTTTCGTCTACGGCGGTTGTGGCAACGACAACCACCACACGCACTGTGCGAGACGGTGCTGTGCGCAGGTCGCACTTCCGAAGGCCGCTGTCGATCGGCCTTCGTTCTGACGGTACTGAAGTTCGTAACATTCCAATTTTGGCCCAATGGGCATAAGAATTTGGCTGGGAAATTTCAAGAATTAGTATCTGCCGCAGTTTCCCATCACTGAGACTACTATAGTGCCTGGGCATTATAACTCGACAGTACGTTTAAGTGAACGCCTCTCAAATTCGTTTATAATAAAATGCAGGGGGCTCGTAAAACACTTGAAACGGACTGACCGGCAATTTCGTCAATGCGGCCGGATCTGGCACGCAAATTTTGATTTCCAAGAGATTTTCAAGGCAACCGTACAAACGGAAGTACCAACGCGGGATACTTGGCAGATATGCGATGATCATAACAAGAATAGATATTGTACTCTCCTGGTGGCGGAATATAGCACAACGCCGTTGTTGTGCCTCCGGGACTAGCTACGGCCGTAGCCAAACGGGGAGGTCACGCTATTTTACTAATTTCATTTTTTCATCGGAAATGAAATATCTTTCGTAAAATTTCAGGCAAGACTCGTAAAATCGTAAGAGCGGTAGAAATTCGGACATTTTACGGGAAAATGGGAAGAGTTGGCAGGTATGCATCATCCCACAAATTACACGCGACATAGTAAAAAAAGAAACTCCCGCCGTTTTTTCTGGCTCTCATAAGAGCTATAACACGCGGGCCAGTTCGTCTCTCGCTTGAACTTATTTCGCACACACTTATTAGACATCGTCACCTTAGGTCGGGCGCAATTTCGGCCGCACACAGTCGCTCAATAATTCTGCCCTGTCGCACTATGGAATAACCTTTTAGGCGACACTGCTTTTTAAAAAAAATCCCGTCCGATTTCGCAAACTGCAACCTTTTTTCGACTTTCGCACAACCATGTCTGTCTCCTTCGTATATAACTGCATTTGCTTAGTGTTTCTTTTTTTCTAATAATCTACAAATCTCTTCGTTTCTACTTCTCTGTAGATCATTTTATGCCTTAATGACATTCTGTAACCCCCCTTCCCCCTCTCGCTCTACGGTCCTTCGGGACCTAGACGGCAATATAAAGAAACATGAATAAAGGAAATACTAACAGACATGAGACAACTCCAGCACAAACGCACGTTGTCTGTTTGCTGCAAAGCAGCCCCCAGCAAACACGCTATTTTAAACCGACGCTACACCGCAGAGAACGCTCCGCGCGAGAAAAAGGATTTTTCCAACTGAAGGGGCGACCTGGGGGGAAAAAAAAAACTAGTTTTCATGGTAATAAGAAAGGGGCACCCAGAAGTTTTTTTTTTTTCCTTATAACGTGCGCCCTAGAGACATTGGTATGCGTGATGGCCGCTGCGACTTGCTGCAATATAATTCAGTGCTACAATCGGTCGAACAAAAGATCCACAGTAAGCGCAAAAAAAAAAAAAAATGTGCGCTCTAGCAAACGAATGGTGATTAGAGGTGGTGGTAGCAAAGAAAAATGATCCGCTCAAAATAAAGGACTGGTGCCGACTTGGCGATTTGCAGGAAAAAAAAAGCGCAAGACTGCTTTTGTGTTTTTTTTTTTTTGCAAGTGTGCTCCCAATTTCAGCCCCCCCCCTCCCCCTCAACAGGTTCCTCTTTTCCAATGCCTAGGCTCATAGATAGGCATTGTGAAAAAGGAACCTGTCCTTGGGTGGGGGTAGGGCTCTTTACTAGAAGTAGCAGGAACATCCACATTGCACCTTTGCAAAGGATCAATTTACCCTTGGAAAAGATTCAAAAGGAATTTCCATTCAACACTTCTATGGCTAAAGCTAGCTGGAATGTGTAAGGTTAAAACGCATCAACAGCGAGAAAAACGAGGGTGCTAGTTTCTAGAGCACTCTTGCAGCAAAGCAAACCTTTGGCTGTAAAGGATTAGTAAGGCGAAGTAGGCCTCAAACACCGGCGACCGCCATTCAACTGCGAACCCACAAGTTCCAGCGAGAAACAAACGCGCCTGCCTAAAGGTTACGACGTGCTGTCAATCACGCACACTAAAAGTAGGCGCCCGTTTCGAGTCTTGACGTGTGAACAAACAAGCGGTCATTTTAGAGTGCTGCGCATTTGTTCGCGCAAAGACTACTCGGCACTTTGGTCAGGCGCGACTGCAGAATTTTTTTTTAGGGGCGAAGCTCCTTAGGGCGTGGGCTGTGCGTCCCCTGTAGCCTGTATGTAGCCACCCCTAGTTTAGTTCTTGCAGTGTTCACTAGATGGCGGTACCGTCCCCTGTATGTAGCCACCTCTAGTTTAGTTCTTGCAGTGTTCACTAGATGGCGGTATTTTCCTTACCCTGCAGCGCATCAGAAGCCTAATCATGTGAAGCTTACACGAACGACAATGAAGGCGCTGGAGATAAAAAAAAAAAAAAAAAAACTCGGCCATAACGGTGTAGCTGTCAGGCTCGCTACCCCAATGTTGCAAAGCAACGTGCGAAATTACGATCTCCATATTCAGAAACGCTCCTCGACTTGCCACCGCCTTCAATGCAGCGCGCTTGTTGAGCAAGCTTTATTGGGAAACGTTGGTTTGAAACGCGCTTGCGTTGCAGTGAAGGCGCTCACAAGTCGAAGAGAAAAACGCGATTTTTGTTTACAAATGTTTTGCATTTGTGAATAAGGTACCGGGTGAAAAAAAACGTGAATATTTTTTTTCTCTCTCTCGTGGTCTGCGTCCTCGCCCAGTTATTCAAGATCTCGGTGCAAACACCCCAAAACACCGGCGGATGGCAATCAAGTATTACTAGTGGCGGGTACGATTGCATCGAGAGGCGCAATTATTTGACCGAAATCGAATCGTCTTCAACTACGTCGACACTCTACGCATACTAATTGCAGTAGTGTAGCAAAATAAGCCAATGATTGGTTGGGCAATAAGTGCGCAGCATTTTAAAGCGCCAATATGGGGAAAATCGTCGACTGCCTGAGGCAACAATGCGCCGTCAGCAACTACGAGGTCAGAAAAAAAAAAAAAACCCGAAGCTTCGGTAGCCAAAAAAAGCATTTTGTTCAAATTGTACAACAGGTGGCCACTGCACGTATGCCTCGCTCCTTTTGTTCCCGCTTCTCTCGATCAAAACCGCATTCAACAAAGGACACAATTTCATTTTTCAGTGCACTATTTCGCTACGGTCAGGCGACGGATTCTCTTGAGACAGGTGCGCATATGCATACACCCACGAAGCGGTTTGACGTATCGCCTACGTAGAGCGGCTGCAACAAAACGCAGAGCACATTGCACGGACGCTAGCGGCGTGGCAAAGGCCAACGTACGCGCAACGTAGTACTAAAAAACTCCGCACATTTCCAAAGCGCGAACGTTAAGCCACGAGTGCCACTTCGGTTACAAAGAAAACCACGAGGCATCGTTACGCCGAAGCGGCTACAATTATTCTGGACGTGACCTGCAAGGGCGCGTTAAAACACGAACGCTAGGCGTAAACGATGCTACCGGCGTCGCTAGGTACATTTTATTTGATTTATTTTTAGTTTGCGGCGGTATTTGCGTGGGTCGCCGCTTTCCCGCCATTACAGCGCGGCGAGGGAGCCAGCCGCCGTTGAAAATCGGCGAGTAAAGCAATACCGCCTACAAAGCCATGCGGCCGCCGCATTTAGATATAAGCTATGGGCCCAGGGATAACTTGGGAGGGCCTCGTGAAGATTGGGGGCAGCTCTAAGGATAAACAAGCTAAGCACACGTACGCGAAATACAGCAGGATGTCTTTTTGTTTTGTTTCACGCAAACGCCAGTACCACAGAAAGAGCACCACTGCATAAACAAACTTGAAAAACGCCGCCGCGTTTGACACGACGCCGGCCAAAATAGCGCGTCCCGCCGACACAATGCTCGCGGCGTGAGTTGATAGTCCTAAGGAGGCGGCCAACGACGCAGCAACCCGCCGGCGCGGGAAAGAAAGAAAAATGCCGGGGCGGGTGCTTGAAAATGCGGCGCCGGCGGCATCAACGTTTGACACAGGCGGAACACAGCGGTATACAAGTTTCCGCGGAAAAAAAGCTGTTGGGAATTGAAGTTCGCACACGTACCATGACTGTGTCGGGGACGGCGTCCGATGCGAAGCGATCAATACAAACAGCGCTTGTCAAGCCGGCGATGGTCGGTCGATAGTGGCGGCAGCGAGAAGAAACAAGCGCCAAGGCGAGAGTGGAGAGGAGGACGCGTCTGCGGGGTTCACTATTCCTTCGGCAGGGACGCCAGCAAGAAAGCTAGTCATGGGGGAGAGGAGGCGTCCTTCTGACGGCCGTAGGCGTTGGCCGCCTCTGGATTGCGACGGATTCCTGCGACATCGCCGCAGAAACTCGAGCGGCGCGCTCGTAGGCAACGATGCACGCGCATGCAGGCTTCTTGTTTTGCGGCCTTTGCAGCAGCGTGTCTTTGAACGGGATGCTCGTGCCCTTCATAGTTACCTGAGCTGCATCCAGTGCAAAGCCGGCAACAAGCTTTTTTCCCACAAGACCTATATTTTGAGACGAGACCCTCAGATGCCTCATAAACGCGAAAAATGGCGCAAAAAGATTCTCATTTTGTCCTCATACGACGTCTCATGACGTCACAAGTCACCAAAAATTTTGACACCATCATGACGTCACATAACAAGACGATGACGGCATCACAAGACACCTTTGCTTGGTGACAGATGGGTCGATCCCGGAGGCATTGCAATACCACGTGAGGTACTGAAAGCTTCTGAAAGTTCGGATGCCTTCTATCTCCGAGGCACTAGAAAAATTCGACAGATCTCACGTTATGTGAAGCATCCACGTGCAAGCTGCGTTGTAATTTTTTTATTGAGTGAAACATTACGAAGTTCCGCTAAAGATTTGTAGAAATGCACGCACAGATATACGTTCGACAGCCGCATATGTTTTATATCACCGGTTGTGTACAGTTGCGTAACTATGCCAACAGTAACATAACAACACCAGAAGCGATAAGCTGATATGAAGCGCTGCTGCTCGCGAGCATGGTAGCCCTGGAAACTGCTACAAAACTAAACTTAAACATGACGTCTGCATCGTAGGAGATTTATGTAATGTTTTGATTGATATGTGGAGTTTAGCGTCCCAAAACCACTGTATGATTATGAGAGACGCCGTAGAGGAGGGCTCCGGAAATTTCGACCACCTGGGGTTCTTCAACGTGCACCCAAATCTGGGCAAATGGGCCTACAACATTTCCGCCTCCATCGGAAATGCAGCCGCCGCAGCCGGGATTTGAAGCCGCGACCTGCGGGTCAGCAGCCGAGTACCTTAGACACTAGACCACCACGGCTGGGCCGTATGTAATGTTTATGAAATTGCAAAGCCAGCACTGCAACCTCAATTGGCGTTTCATGAACATTCGGGTTTATTAGAAACGTAGTTTCTGGGGTGGCTCTGTGGTAGAATACTTGATTGCTATTCAGAATGCTGGGGCTCGATTCCTGCTGGGACAATGACATTTATGCTTTTCATACGCATGGTCAACGCTGCCGATGGCTGTTTTTTTTTAACAATCAAGCGTTAAAATTACCCATGTCTCTTCTCGTCGTTCCTGGGTATATTTAAACGGCCAGTTACCTTTGGCACATACCCGCCGTCGGGTATGTGCCACATGTCTGGCGGAAAGGGTTTGACGACGTACGTGACGAAATTGTCATTCACGTCAACCAGTCCTATTGGTCAAACCATTTGTGAAGCTTTTGTAGCACCGTTAACGGTAACGCCTTACTTTTATCGGTAGCTTAGTAACGTACTCGTTTTAATTTTAGAACTTTAAAGGACCCGTAAACCACCTCCTATATGTTTTCAAGCATTTCAAGTAAACGCGCGCATCGTGTGCAGAATGCCGTCGCCATTTTGATTTAGCGATTCTGGAAAGGAGGGAAGAAGGCACCTAATTTCAGCCTGCCTCTTGGGCGGCACGGCACAGTCAACGATTCTGCACGTGGCAGTGCTACGAGTCGCCTGCTGCAGAAATTAGGCGTATTTTCCTTCTTCTAATCACAACCACCACCACCACAAATTCCAAGAAACGATACCTCCTCTATTCGGGCCTCCGCGTGACGCGCCGTGGCCCACAACTCTGCCACGCCGAGTTTAGGCACTGCGCAGTGTCGCCCAAGAGACTGACAGAAATTAGGTGCCTTCTACCTCCTTCCACAATCACTCAACTGTTAACAACGCTTAGCCAAATATGCTGTCGAGCAAGAGCCTACGACTTCCGGTCAGTCTGCAAGCAGCTGTCCACGCTGCTTGTTGTTGTTCATCGTGTTGCCCGTGTTCGGGTAATACGTGCGGGGCCCGGTGTGTTCACGTACGGGTCCATCGCGTTGGCAATCTTTTGAAGGCATGGGCACTGCGCGGGTTCCTTACCGACACGATTACGGCAGCCACAGTTCGCCAACAAGCACGCAACTGATGGAGTCGACGGTTGGAGTCGCGGCAACCGGAAGTAGACGGTGTTTCAAGCACCGCGTCAGCGATGAGGTATGCCACGCAAGATTGGGAGGGGCGCTCGGCGAGAGGGCACCAGCGGAGGGAATCGCAGGAGAGAGCAAAATGTGTGGTCATCACGGTTTAGATAATCAAATGCGTCTAACTCGGCTATTACTGCACCGTTTCCGCTGCACCCGTACCGCTTACCGTACGCACGCTATTTTTCAGATTTAACGTTACCGTGTTAACGTACGTGTACGTAAAATATAGCGGCGCTCTCGTACGCCCGCTTCGAAGTAATTTTGGCGTAGTTGTTGACATATTCACTTTGTTCGCAGCATACGACTGTTTAAAGTGACTTCGTTTGCCTTCAGTTAGCTTCGACGACCGAGTATTACCGATAAGCTGGCGTAGTTTTTGAGATGGCTTCCTATTTCGAATGTGTCCAAGCCTAACTGCAAGATCAATGTAAACAAATCGGCAACATAAATGTTTTTGCGTTCAGTGCGTGTTTGATACTTATTTGCTCTCATTATTACTAAAATAAAGTTGTAACAATGCTTCGCGCGGTGAGACAGACAGACATTCTCGCTTTCTTTTACTTCTCACTGTTCTCACTTCTCAACCCTCCAACAAGTGGCGCCACCATCCCAACAGGGGCACGTAAACCTCGTAAATGCTATCCCGCCAAACTATAGACTCTGTCCGCAATGCACGTTTGCTGCACGGTAACGCCATTCCATTAACCTTCAGTATCACCTCTAACGGTAAACTATAACTGTCTATTGACGCTGTGTGCATGTGATCCATTTCACTGCCCGTGCTCTTTATGTTATCTTTAATGATGAGGCTAATGTGCTCGTACACTCGCCAGTGTCCTATTAAGGCGGAGCCAACCGGTAGACCGACTCATTACGTCATCCGAAGAGAACACACCTATTGGTCCAGGCTTGCGTGCCTTTTTGGTGGAATGCTGCGGGCGTCTTTAGCTTATCCGACAATAGGCAAGACAAACATCATCGTGTTCTCATCTCATAAGGATATAATTTTACGAATCCTCTGACAAATAAACGTTTTTATTTTATCCGTTCTTCTTTCGCATTGTTCACCTATTCGTTTATAACAGTTCTTAGGATAACAAACCAACTAACTCAGACTAAGCATTTTGCACAGGTCTCCACTGTGATGAGAACTCGCGTTTGGTAAGTTGACGTGATCACATCTGAAGCCACTTGAAGCCGTGCATATTAATCCACTTGAAACCGTACAACTGAATCCACTTGAAGCCGTACATCTGATTCCACTTGAAGCCGACCGCCAGGGCTGCGACAGCGATGCTCACCAGGGTGCCGTTCATGATGCGAGACAGTACCTGCGAGACGGTGCACACGATTAACTTAAGGCCCGACCACACGGACCTCTCTCCACGACGAAAGGGCGCGGCACCGCGTCAAGAAAGCCACGCGCTGCAACGAGTTCACGTGGTCAGGCCTTTAGAACCCTCGCTCGATAATGGACTCACGGACACATAGGTTGAAAAAATGTGGAGCTCACTCAGACTCACCCAAGAAACATACTTCGCGCTTAGGGCTCACTTGGACTCAGGCTCAATAAAACTTTTCTAAACCACACCGACTCGGGCACAAACTCGCCGGAAAGTGTTACTCACTGGGATTCACTCAGAAGCAGACTTGCGGCTCGACCCGAGTCGGAATCTATCTATCTATCTATCTATCTATCTATCTATCTATCTATCTATCTATCTATCTATCTATCTATCTATCTATCTATCTATCTATCTATCTATCTATCTATCTATCTATCTATCTATCTATCTATCTATCTATCTATCTATCTATCTATCTATCTATCTATCTATCTATCTATCTATCTATCTATCTATCTATCTATCTATCTATCTATCTATCTATCTATCTATCTATCTATCTATCTATCTATCTATCTATCTATCTATCTGGATGAATAACGTAAATGGTGGTACCTTGTCTTGCCACGCTCTGTTCTTGACGCATTCGTGATACCTAATCCTCGAAAATGTAACCTGAAAAAAGAGAGCGAAACATTTTTCAGTAGTAATAAAAATGACACACACACACGTCGTGTGCGTGTGTGCGCGCGCGCGCGCGCGCGTGTGTGTGTGTGTGTGAGAGTGAGTGAGTGAGTGAGTGAGTGAGTGTAACGTGGTCATGACATTAGCGAAGGGAGGAGCCGGCTTCTTTAAGGTGAAACGTAATTTGGCCAAACTTGGGGCCGTGAAACAGAAACTCAAAAACAGCAAGAACAATGCACGCTCTACACTGATATGGGGCACAGAGCGCCGGTCGTCAAAAAAACTGATCATCGTTGGGACGCGCCGTTTTTCATGCATCACGCGTCGAATTCGAACTTTCCAGCCTCATCACTGGTGGTCGCACAACCTCTGGAACAAAGTTGAGTGTTCGTGTCACGCACGTTATCATAAAATGATCTGCTACAATCGGGAAGCTTCTCGAACACTGAGACGCTATCTGCGCCAAGCATTTCTGACAATCCTTGTCGGCTTAAACCAAATGCCTCAAAAGTGAAGCAAGTGAGCTATTATCGCGGTGTCCGATTCGGCCTCCCCTGATTGGCTAGAGCGCGCCGCCTGCTTCCGGTGTTTGTTCCGCAACGCCATTTTGACGCCACGCAGCGTTGATTGATTGATATGTGGGGTTTAACGTCCCAAAACCACTATATGATTATGAGAGACGCCGTAGTGGAGGGCTCCGGAAATTTAGACCACCTGGGGTTCTTTAACGTGCACCCAAATCTGAGCACACGGGCCTACAACATTTCCGCCTCCATCGGAAATGCAGCCGCCGCAGCCGGGATTCGAACCCGCGCCCTGCGGGTCAGCAGCCGAGTACCTTAGCCACTAGACCACCGCGGCGGGGCACCACGCAGCGTTCACAACTTTGGACACAAATGAGGAAGACGGACAACGTTTCGCCACGGCAAATGCTGCCCCAGAGATACGCTTTTAGACGCACATCTCTGAAGCCGTGCATAGACTCTAATCAGGTTAGCCCTTGAATTAGGTTCCTTGCAACACTCTTTAAACATCTCAACACGTTCATACACACGTGCAGACTTGTCAAGTTTGTTTAAAAGTCCTGTTACTATACGTTTCGTCCACTTATATGCCATCTTTGACTGGTCGTTTCTCATTCATGAGAGAGAGGTGTATTTTTCAATTTATCAGCGCATCTCTCTCTCTCTTTCTCTAAGGAGAGCGCTCTAGAACACTCCGAAACGCCCAGTTTATTTTCACGCTGGGAATGTGCTGGTGAGTTTGGTGCGCCGACGTCGACAAGCGTGTCATGACGTCACGACTCAATGTTTTTTTTTTAGTAAGTGAATGCGCTCTGGCGAATTAGACATCCCCACGAATTGGACACTGCGAGAATAGCTCCCCAACTAACGCGAGTGGCAATACATAATGTATGGATAGACGGATGAGGCCAGCAAGCTGAAAGACTAGCGAAATCACTGATTCACCGGCTCAAGGTTACATGCAATTGTAAGAGCAATTTACAGAAAAAAAAAGCCCACATTTGTTTCGCTAAAGTATACGTCCGAGTAATAGCTCCCGCCCGCGAACGCTTGTTTATTAAGGCGAAATCTTTAGATGCCTTATCAAACGTGAAAACTGACCATCGGTGGCGTTGGTGCCGACACGAGTGATGCGAAAGATTGTCGTGTGATGACGTCTGTATGATTTAATAGTGTGCCAAAATATGTGAAGTCATCGTAATGACTTCGTCACACGACATTGTTGTTTTGTCAAATGCGGGCCGATCACGGAGGCAGTGCATAACCAGGTAAGGTGCCCAAAGCTTGCGATGTCTACGATCTCGGTGGCAGTGCGAAAACCACGTTAGGTGTCGGAGGACCTAGGGGGTGGAATATTAGTACATAGACTGAGAAAAAATAAAGAAGAGGAACAAGAAGAAGGCGGGAGGCTAATGCATAATGAACCCCGTCAATTTTAACGAGATAGAATAGCTCGTTTCGCAGAAATTCCGGCATCGGTGTCGGCATCGTTGTTCGTGAGCGAAAAATCACTATCTTGTGCGTGACTAAAAAATCGAGAAAGATGCAAATAAAATAAATATTAAAAATTCTGGGTCAGAGTGGGGATCGAACCCGGGTCGTTTGCGCGCAAGCGGGTGTTCCACAACACAGCTACCAATCTGCTTGTGCATACAGTAAGAATAACTACCTCCGCTTGAAAATACAGTGAGAGTAACTCTCATTTTTTTACAAACACACGCGTCCTGTATACATTCTTCACAATACAACATGAAATATTGGAATTAGAATGTGTGGTACAAGCGTCCATTGCCACCGGGCGCCAGAACATGCTATTATCATAATGACTTCATCGTTTCAATCCGGTCACCCACCGCACAAGGCACACACGTTACTGCGCCTATTCCCTCAAGGCTACAACGGTGTATGCATAGCAAGTTCGAAAAGATTTCATATACTAAGTGTTTGAAGTACGCACTAGGAAAAGGATATCGATGTCGCGTTCAGCTCTTAAAGGCGAAGCTTAATAAGGCTCCCCGAATTTTTCTTTCTCTACATAGGCATACTGCACGTACCGTAGTGTAGAGTGGTATCCAGAAGTTCGGTAGGATTGCGTTCAGGAAGAGGTCGAACTTTTTACGTATCAGAAACGAGGTGGAGTTCACCAGGTGGCGCATCTGAAATAATCACCGACAGATGATGAGCTCGTCTTCCTGTGTGCATACGCCTGTAGATAGAACATCGATAAACACAAACACGATAATATTCTTGGACACAGTATCTGGTACACACGTACACGTACGTGAGATGTTAATACCGTTGGTACGCACATTCCAGTCTTGTGGTGAATAAACAGCCACGCGCTCACCTCAACGTAGTTGTAAAGAGCCAGGTCACACATAGCCTCCACGTCCGGATTCCTCGTCTCGGTGAATTGGTCGAAGATGACACCTGCGTTCGGTTGTAGGTTGTTAATCGACAGCGAGCAAGCGCTGCTTCTGACTGGACACTCAAACTGTCGCCCTCGGCTTTCTATAGGGAGCAGAAAACGCGCACATACTCCTAAGCTAAAATGGGTTCCGCCACACTTTTCGACCATGGCCAGGAAACGCTAACGTTCGGAAGTCGAGGCTCATGTGAATACGTGAGGTAAACAATTATCACGGCGCTGCATCAGTAATTAACATTTCAAGGGAACTTATTAAATCCTCACTATTCCCTCGCGCCAAATTACGTCATCGTCGGGCCCGTACAAGTCAATGGAGGGAAGGATACGGCCATTGGCTGGTTCGATCATCGTGAGGGCATCTTCAAGGTCAACACGCGCATGCCCAAGGTCATGACGTGCGCTTTTGTTGCACGCGTCATGGCGTTCAGCGCGCAGCCGCAGGTTCTTGAACGTTAATTGTCATCTTCCTCTGTGGAGCAAGACCAGCACATTTGCCGGGATGAATGAGAAAATACTTGAAGCAATTTTGACGAATCCTTGTAACTCCGCTAGTACTTGAGTGACTTTTTGCGATAATCGATTAATGAGGCTATGACTAAACTACAGGATAGCGATATCAATGGGTGGTATCGCTACCTTAGTGGCACAGATTTCTCTCACAAGCTTACTTCCCAGCGTAAGCTACAAATCATGTAAAAGAAAATAATGTCCTTACTCAAGTTGTGGCCGTGGGCATCCAGTAGTTCATTCAAAAGACAACAGTCCTCGAATCCCTGCGCATACGGCACAATGAATTGGCCGCGTGCTCCCGAAAAAAAAAGAAATAAGAATGTCAGAGATATTTCTTTTCCACACAGTGAACAACCGGTTGCAACAACCACTGTTTCTATAAGTCGTAAGTAGGAACCAGTGGTGTCAAACCATTTGTGCAGCCCGAGAGTGGCGGGGGTCTAACCTCCCTTTTCCACTATAGCCGCCCCCGAAAAGGCGGTAATCATTCCCCTCCACCACCTTCCTATCATAAAAAAATATTCCTCTACGCCCTTGTGTAACACAAGTCCAGCCATGGAGGAAAATGAAACCTAGGAGGGAGGCGTCACGTGAAAATTGGGAAGCCCAGCCATATAAAAAATAATGACCCAGGAAAATGCTGGGAAGTGAGCCCAGCGTATGAGAATGGTAATGGGGGGAGGGGGGGGGAGTGGCGTCCAAGGAAGTTGGCTTCTGGACGCTAGGCGTGCACTCATTTTTGTTCACCAATCCACTGAAATGAAACAGGAGCATCATGGGAAAAGGGACACGAACGCGAGGAGCAATTAAGCGGCTTCAGAGGAGGTTGGTTTTGCAGACGTTAGGTGTCCTGCCTATTTTCTATTTCTTTCCTTCGTGTGTCAAGCCCATATCAAGCACCGAGTAGATGTTCAGCTAGGGAAGAGCCAGGGAGCCAGTCATCAAGTAATCCGACCAGAAACGTCACTTGTGACGTCATTCGTAGAGGGGCCCGTTATTGTTGATCTTACAGTTGGCGCTCGCATTCCTGATGCTGGAAAAATAAAGAAAACCACAAAGCAGCGCAGCGTATAGATAGCTACTCCCCCCTCACCCCCTTCATGCAGTGACACGTGACAGTTACTGAAACGTACACAGCGATGTTTATGCAACGCCAGGCAGAACCTTAGTAGAGTTCATTCACACGGGCCGTGACGTTGGCGAAGGGAACAGTCGGCGTGTCCAAGATGAAACGCGTTATTTGGCCAAACTTGTGGTCGGGAAACGCGAACTCAAACTGCCGGAAGCAACACACTGTGATATCGACGGACAGAGCGTCGGCCATCGATAATCTGATCTGCGGTGAGGCACGTCGGTAATTATACATTAAAGGTTCTAGCGTTATCGCTGGCGATTGCGAGAGCTCTCTCTCTCTCTCTAAATAAAAAAAAGAAACGTGACTGTATACGCCCCCAGTGTAACCTTAGAAGAATTGGACAATCATGAAGCTTCACGAACATTTCGGCGTGATCTGGGTCGGGCGTTGCCCCGCCGCGGTGGTCTAGTGGCTAAGGTACTCAGCTGCTGACCCGCAGGTCGCGGGATCAAATCCCGGCTGCGGCGGCTGCATTTCCGATGGAGGCGGAAATGTTGTAGGCCCGTGTGCTCAGATTTGGGTGCACGTTGAAGAACCCCAGGTGGTCGAAATTTCCGGAGCCCTCCACCACGGCGTCTCTCATAATCATATGGTGGTTTTGGGACGTTAAACCCCACATATCATGGGTCGGGAGTTGCTACTCAAATACATGAATCAGGAAGCGGGCGTGGCAACGGCGGTGACCTTTTTATTCAGCTCACGAGATCCCGGGGCTCTTGAGGCGGTAGGCGTTCCCCGCGCGCTCATCGGTCCAACTGTCCACGGATCGAATGCCGCCATGACAATTAGTCGATCTCGGCTCGCGAAATCAACCAACGATCTGTTCAGCGGCGTACTCTAACTTCACCAGCCATAGGTCGTCAAAAAATGTGCAGCTCACTCAGACTCACCCAAGAAATATATATTGCACTTAGGGACCACCCTGAGTCAGACTCGCCAAAAGATACTACTCGTCCGGACTCATTCAGAGTCACCTTCACAACTCGATCAGAGTGAGTCGCCTGACGAGTGAGTTTGCGGATCTATGCTGCTGGCGCAGTGGGGCGATTGGGGACCACCATACTCACCGCATTCATCCCCTGGCCGTAGAATGGAACCATGGCATGCGAAGCGTCCCCTAGGATCAACGATTTGTCCGAAACGTTGTACGGCTTGCACTGTAACGACAGACAACCGTTAACGTAATACGGCGTGTAGGTTGAGAACGACCCCATGGTTCAGAAGTGGCAACAACATCTTATGAAGAGCAAAGCGCCGATTGACAAGTATACGCCTCAAGCTGGTGGTATTTTGTCGCTAACACGTTGTTGCGGGCGTGCACCTCCACGGAGAAAGGAAAAAGAAGGGCAGGAGCAATACGTCACACAAGTGAAGCCCACCGTGTCGGCCCAACACGTGATCAAAGCGTCGTAGCGTGCAGTCAGTGGCCGTTGGCAACACTGACCTATAGTTAGGTTTCCTGTACTACAAACGCCTGCTAAGGCTCCATTTCACCTACCTTATTTAACACAGAACAAGATGTCTGTAGAAATAATTTCTGACACAATTCAACTAAGCTATTTATTTGCACGCAACCAGCAACGGCTGACTGTTGGGTATACAGTATTGTCTAATGATTGAGCCGTCGACCAATTGTTTTCTTCAATTACCCCTAGTGAAGAGAACGCATTCGCGACTCTCACCTTGATCATGACCATGGGCGATGCCTTCACAGCAAAAAAGCTCTTCACCAAGTGGTCCCTTCAAAATCAGCATCGTGTTGCGAAGCGTTGTTGAGAGTCGGGTTGCACATGGGAGGAGGGAGGACGCATGGAGAGTGATAGAAGACAGGGTTTTCAACGAAGGAACATAGACGCACGCTGATTATTGTAAATAAGTATATACTGACTGCCCAATGAGAGGCACGGCGTCCGGAAAGTACTTGTCGAAGAAGCTGAGCAACTTGTGTCGGTCGGTGAGCCCGTCAAACACGGCGAAAGGCATGAACAGCGTCGCCGTGTACGTCTTGTCCTGGTTGGGCAGCGCTATGAGCATGAACTCGCCGCGGGGCCAGATGTGCAGGTAGTTCACCTCCATGGCGAACTGCGCAGTCGCGAACCGTTTGCTTTGTCAGATAGTCCACGGTGGAACTGTGTCGTCATATGCCAACATCTTGCAGGAAACCAGGGCGACGGCGATAATAAAGGTGTGATAAGCAATGCATTGCCCACGACGAACGAGCGCGAAATTAACGTGATACAGCGTGAAGTACGTTGGCCACAGGACAAGGACATAACTGCACTAGAAAGCATGGTTGAGGCATTCTTCAATTTGAAAGGTTGTGTGGTAGACTTGGATAAGTTATCTGTGCACCTCTGGTTATTTTTGTAAGTTCTTTGTGAACTCATGTTTTCGATGGCCTGTGAATATGCGTTTTTCTGCGATAAAACATTCAGCTGTTAGTTATGAGATTGTTTGGCGGCCATCTTCGCCTTGCCTCACGTTGATTTCGTGCTCATTCTCTTTGTCGTAAACTGCCCAAAAGTATTCTTTTCAGTTACTTCGTCGGCGTGCGTGTTATAACACCCACACTATTTGTAATATGTAGTTTTGATAATTATGCGCATTTCGAGCACAGTGGTTATTTGACCAAATAACACGATTTAGTGCGCGAATTCCCATGATGCATTTCGTAGCCGCTTGCTTCGTTCTTGGACACGGGCCAAGTTCAAACTCAAGATTGATTCTCAAAACTCAGCCCGCTTTTGTCATTCACGAAAGAGAGACGAATATTAAGGCACATGCATACCCAAATTACTAAACTAACAAACAAATATTTACCTCTTAGTTAATTAACGCCAGACAATCCAGACAAAATTCAGCGCATGAGTTTAATTAACACTTGTGCGTCTTGTGTTTTCTGTGCGCTCCAAGTGCCTCCCCGTATCGTTAGAAATTCGTCCAACAAGTTCTTTCGAGGACGACTTATACCTCTCCATCCTTTGTTGGCGGAATGCAGAGCTCGAGGTAGCCGTGCGGGATGTAGGTCTGCGAGTAGTTGAACATGGGCCGACGCAGCATCTGGCGCCTCACTGCCGAGTAGGCACCGTCGCAGCCGAACACCGCGCGGTGATGAACACGGACATCCTTGCCGTCTGGGCTGTAAGGAGGTCATCAGGTTTATTGACGAACACGTTATGCAAGAAACGAGTGCAGCTCACCCGCGAAAGTTCAGTTCCGCTTGGTCCAGGTCGGCCGATTGCAGCTTGTGCCGGAAGTGTAGCCGGACATTGGGGTTCGCTTCACAGGCTGCAACCGCATACACCACCGCGCAACGTCACTATACATCGCACCGAATAAAGTAGCACATCGCGAGCAGGTCGGCCGATTGCAGCTTGTGCCGGAAGTGTAGCCGGACATTGGGGTTCGCTTCACAGGCTGCAACCGCATACACCACCGCGCAACGTCACTATACATCGCACCGAATAAAGTAGCACATCGCGAGCAGCGTTCACCAGTGTGACATCGTTTCACTGCGCGCAGTGTGGCACGGGCCTCGCATGCTCACATTCCGACGACGGAATGTTTCGATGGTCGGTGCGAATTTACGTAGGGCGGCTGAACTTAGCCCCGTCAATTAAGGGTGGGCAACGACGCCGAACATCCCAAACACACCATTACGCTCATACAGTGTGTGAAGGAAAAAAAAAATCATTTAACGTCGATTGCGATGGCGCCTGACGCAAATTCTAAGCGCAACTTTGCGTTGGGGCAATAACAACTATGCCTGAAGTTTTGACTACTGACAAACCAGTCCTAGCTTGAGTGCAACGCACATCACTTTGTGCATTGCAAGCGTCGCGAACCGAGCGAAACGCCAACAGCGCCGTTGCGACAAGCGAACCCAGCCACTGTGCACGTGTTAGCCCTAAAGTTACTGTATATGCTACATATAGAGTAACTCTAGCCAGCCCAGCATCGCAGCGCCGACTCCCTTTATGTCAATGCATAGGGCTGACTTTGAACCTCCCCTCTTTGGTGACTATGGGTGCGGCTACCCCCTTCCCCCCTCGTGCACACACCTATGCTTGAGGGTAAATGTATGAATGAATGCTCACCAGAAAGAAGGACCTCGTTCAAGTAGCGGCGGCCAACGGAGAATATGCTCTGCAGATAAAGGAGTCAATCGATTTTTACTTTTTTTTGATATAGTGAGCAAGATTAGAACTTACAGATATGTGACTGTAGTGTAAAATATATAAGGAATAAAGAAATATGAGGCTACAAGGACTTCATTAATAATCTCATGGGATTTATCTAATTAGATTGCTTACATTTGCCTAATATACATGACTGTTGCTTGATTACTTTCTGCCGGCACCTTCATTAACATAATAATATACTGCGCATTGTTCATAAATTTCTAAACCACATTTTCGGAATGCAGTGTTACTAGCTGGCGCTAGCGTCAATAGATCTGAAATCTACATTCAAACTGCGATATATATAGTGCTATCTGCATTGAAACACGGAAAACATAGTAGACAAGTGCCAGTAATATAATTCCGCTAATTACAGACATTATTCAGCATGGCGCAAAAATCTTACCCTGCGAGTACATTCACTTTAAAGAGATGACGAGAATGTCCAAGCGCGCTGCTCTTGAAAGGGCCATGACACCCAACTTGCCATCATAGTCTGTGACATGTGGGTCTATTCTTGTGCGTCCATAAAATAGCTGTCGATCTGGCGGAGCACTTCTTTCAGGACGACTTTTTTTATTATTATTATAAACAAGCGAGCGGCTCGAGAGTCCCACAACACTGGAGCACTTGCGTACCGTGACGTAACAAGCAGCGCTTGCTTTGCGAGCGCCTGTCCTGGGAGCGAGGCAGGAGATGAAGAGGAGGACGTAGAGAGCACGCGCCGGCCCAGTTAAAGGCCCGAACCCCATGTGCCCATTGCAGCGCGTCCGCGCGGGGCCACAGAACACCTATACACTACCATTTGGCGGGGCTTTCTGGCACGGCGCCTTCTCCCGATAGAGACAGAGAGCGCCTCGCTACTCAAACCTGCGCGCCCTCTCTCTCTCCGTAAAGGCATGATCACACGTTCCCGTTGCAGCTCGAATCTTTTTCTCTTTCTTAGGCACTGCGCCGTGCTCCCGACCGGGTTGCAGAAATTAGGTGCCTTTTCTCATCTTCTAACCACTACCACCACCATCCTTTTCTCTTTCTTAGGCACTGCGCCGTGCTCCCGACCAGGATGCAGAAATTAGGTGCCTCTTTCACCTTCTAACCACGACCACCACCACCACCTTTTTGTCTTCTTTCCACTTTTCTTCGATTTCCCTTTCCCGCAGGCAATGCGCCGTGCTCCCGACCGGGCTGCAGAAATTAGGTGCCTTTTTCCTCTTCTAACCACTACCACCACCACCCTTTTGACGCGGCGACACGCCTTCTCCCTCTTGGCATGAAAGGCGCGGGGCTTAGCGAAGTTGCACCCCCTGTCTCTTCATAGATGGGTGGGTGCTGTGCCGCGTCATAAAGCCAAACGTTGACGCGCGGCAACAGGTGCGTCTATGGCCAGTTTATCTTCGGCCTCCAAAGCACCTCCCAAGGTAAATCGCCCACGGTTTATTACGGCCAGTTTCGCAGCGGTAAATGATTCGGCCGTATTTTTCGGATACTGCTACCTATATACAGCGCCGCCGGCTGTGGACGGAGGTCACAGTCCGAGTGGCGCTATTGATAAGACGGCATAAGCGGCATGTCGCCACGCCCGTAAGATGAAGACTTAATGCTTTCCCGATCTTTCACGCTTTTTTTTCGTTTTTTTAATAATTTCAGGCTATGGCCATTCGGAGTGCAATTCTGATGAAAGGAAACGTTGGTAAGATACTTTCAAATATAAAGCTCCTTTTGATTTCTATTAATGAAGGAAAATTAAGGATTTCTAATAATGACAATATTAATGAAGGAAAATAAGACACGTTCTCATCAAGGCGAAAAAAAATGAATATTGACGTTTTTGTAACACACACACACACACACACACACACACAACGGGAAATGATATTCCTGAGAATATTTATCCCCTAGTTAGTTATACGTTCCGGCTCGCGGCAGTTTTGGCAACCTACATAGCAGCAGCAATGGCATATTTTATTTCTCGCAACAGTATACATAAGAAAAAGGAACAGATCTAGAAGCAACAGCCGTTTCATACGACTGACACCGCGGCTGCTGCATTTCCGATAGAGGCGGAAATGTCGAGGCCCGTGTGCTCAGATTTGGGTGCACGTTAAAGAACCCCAGGTGGTGGAAATTTCCGGAGCCCTCCACTACGGCGTCTCTCATAAACATATGGTGGTTTTGGGACGTTAAACCCTACAAATCAATCAAATCAATCATCAATTCATACGACTGACAAAGCCACCGCCATATCCACCCTTCATAATAATACGGGTGACTCGCCTGTCCCTTCCTTCCGTACGGGATGGGTTTCCGTGTGCCGTCCGTGTTGTGAATGAGCCGTCCGTGCATGGGAATGGCGTGCCGCTGGATCACCTCCTCCTCCAGTCCCACCAGCGCCAGGGCTGCTCGGCCACGCACCGACAGCGCCAGGTTGATGCTGCGACCCGTCACGTGCTCCTGCAGACGGATGTCTGCGCATGCGCAGAAATGGAAAACATACCCGCGCTTGTTCGTCATTTCTGTTGAGACGTTCGGTGTTGCTCATGGATCGCGGACACTTCTCGTTTCATGGTCCCCGTGTCATAGGTCTACGCAGATGAGGTATAACGCGCATAAAGCACAGGACCAAGTTGATTACAGGAACATGGGAGAGGGCTGTGCCCTGCAGTGGGCGTAGGCGGGCTGATAATGATGATAAAAAGAAAGGAGGAAGGCATTCCACTCATCCCCCATATTAGCACTGCGTTCTCATAGTAAGGGACTCAACAGGGGGAGGGGTGCTTCCCGAATTCCTCCGTCTTAGCACTTCATTTTGATTGGCAGGAGGCAGGGTGCACTGCAATGAATAGCCTTTGTGTTTACGTTCCTAGCTCGAAAATTCAGGTGATCCATTGTGGATGGCACATTGACGTAAATCCGACACAGCGAACGCGCGACTTCGCAGACCCCTTCTTGTATATAGTCTTGAAAATGAATAAGCGTAGATGTGCGCGGGGTTCCACTTCGAGGGGGGAGGGGGCGAAGGCTAATTGCAGCGCCCTCCTTCCATTAGGTCACGGTGTGAGGCTGACTATTCCCCACCCCCCGATGCACACATGAATGAGGCTACGCTGATCGTGACATCACCCACCTTCTCTGGATTCGTAGAGGTCGACTTGGAAGCCACGGTTTCCGAGGAGGCAGGCGCATAGTGATCCCACCTGCGGGATGTAATCTTCATAAATACACAAATGATGCAATTCCTGCTGACCATAACACTCACTCCCGACAGTACATCAGTCTTGCATTTCATCATTCTCATCGGCATCACGTTGGGAGATTGCGCACTTTGTCAGACTATAAGTATAAATATGTTGATCATAGTGCCCCTAAACTAAAAAAAAGAGAAAAAACTTCATCTTGCATAATTTCAGGAAAAAAGATTTTACGAGTGCTCTTCATTTTCATACATTGAAGCCATTGTCAGCATGGCGCAATAATAAATAAAGGACACCTGTCACATCAAACTGATCTTAGAGACCATTACGAAATTTCTAGGACGTCCGCTTCTGTGAAAGAATCCCACCACGACATATCAATATAACAAGATCGGGGCGTTGTCATTTTGATAAGATAAAATGGATATGTGCAGTAATAAAAGATACTGTCATGCGGTCGAGATTATGTTGTTTACTTTAAATTAGAGGTATAGCTGCAGACAGCCCGATAGCGTACATGATTTGCCACAACATGGCCATAGCGGAGGCAGCCAAATTGGGGAAAAAAAGAAAAATTAAGCCAGCTTCTAATTTGGGGTGAAGGAAGTGTCGAGCTGGGCAGTATACTCTCTCCTCGTTTTTTTCTTTATTTCCACATCGCTTTATTTATTTTTGTATTTTTCTTTTTGCGTGTGTTGCTGTTTCTCTTTATATCTATTTTCTTCGTGTTTTGTCTCTCTTTACATATTTCGCTTGCTTCCTCTTTCAATCTTTATGCGTGGTTTGTGTTTTCGTGTTTTTCTAGCCACAGTAGCAATGCCAACGCTTACGTAATATCATCACCAAGACGCTCGATGAACAACAGGAAGGCTTCTCCTTGGTGCGAGCAAGTGCTCAATATATTAAATATGGCGATGCTATATCCGCGGTTGTTACAAGCTGCCACTCTAGCGTCGCCAGCGCGAAGTCGGCGACGGGAATGACAGCAGGTTGGTTCGTTCCGTACGCAAGCAGAGACAGTGAAGAGATCAGAGACGTGAGAAAACAAAACAACTTTACTCTAATGATATTGCAGCACACGGGATCTAATACAACACTTCAATACAACTAACAAAATACATCGACACTTGATACAACTAAAGAAATATATAACAGAAGCAATAAATCAGCTTACGAGAGAGAACTATTACAAACTACACAAACTAACACAACAGAACTACAGAGGAGAAAGTTCGAAGATATAAACAGGTGAAGGCATACGTGTGATGACCGGCAGCGTTGTGTCCCCGACGATCGGATGCGAGAAGTCGAAGGGAGTTCTGGCACGACTGCGATGTCGGCGGTGTTGCAACGCTGGTGGCTCCGGGAGGCTAGTGCTTGCAGGTGACTTCGAGCAGGTTGAGCTAACTCGAGGCGAAGTCCCGATGTCTACGTTGCAGACGTTAATATCGCGTCACAACTAGACGAACGGCTAAGTTTAGGTGGCCAGCCGATACAGAGCCACACTAAAAACTTCTAGAAGAGATGCTTGTTGATCTGTTTCTACACCATCTTGGTCAGCGACTAGTCTGCCTAGCAGGGCAGAATCCTGCGCTTAAATCCCCCTCGTGTCTCCTCGCTCTCTTCCTTGGGGACAAGAGACCTCTACATGGGTCCAATCATGTGCGTTTAATTGATGGAAACTCCGCCCCAAAAATATTTTGACCCCACCCCTTTTTAATTGGGAGAGGGCCCTCAACTAGCGAGAGTGACAACCTGTCGGGTTGTTGTCATACGGCTTGGCCACCAGAGCGTTTCCCACGCTTTTCCCCGTGGGAACGGTCAAACGTTTGGCTCTCAGGCGGTGTGTCTCGTAGTCTAATCCTTGTTCGGGGTATACCGCGGCCTTCTACGACCTTGCAGACGTCGCCACAGTTACAAAAGGATTAACTGTCGGCGGCGACGTTCTAAGGAGAGCACCCCATTTTGCACTTATCGGTTCCCTTTCATGTGCCGCCGTTTCTCACGGTCAGTCGGGGAGTAAGGCGCCCGTTAATTGCCGTGACGCGGTGTCGCCGAAAATAGCCGTCCGTGACAGCGGTTTAGCCTGCGTGACGCCAAGCGACGACGACAGCGTACGACAGAATACGACAGCAAGGTCACTCCGCGTGATTCAGCAGTTGGCGTTCTCGTTCACCTTCTCTTGTGGCCCATACACACTGTGGGGTTGGTTGGTTGGCAACAACTTTATTGGATGTGCGGCAGAGCTTTCGCCTCGCGGGCCTTAGGTCTCCCGCGTGGGGACACGTCAAGACCTTGCCTGACCGCCGCCTCGCGGGCCAGCTGGACGGCCCAGAGTTGGTCACCGAAGCTGGGGCCGTACAGGGCAGCGGCCAAACGCGGCGGAAGGGTTCCGGATTTAGTACCTTGCGGATTTCTGCCGTTTGGCCAAGAATTGACAAGCCTGAGTTTATAATGTCTTCATCGGGCAGCCTGAGTGTTGTTCCGGAAACTTCGAATCCACCCCCACGCCCCCCCCCCCCTTTTTTTCACGACGCCACGGCCCATGCGCATTGAAACGGAAGGCCTTCAAATGCACCTTTACCTCGGAGGCGGAAACCCTACTACTAGCACGGCAGTGGCCAACACAGGAAAATGAAAACAGGCGGATTGTGCACCATTGCAAAATTCGTGATCATGCGAGTTGTGATTGCGCCGGGCATGGAGTATTTTTGTGAGAAACTCTATGACCCCTGTAGCGATCAAGCTATGCCTTGACCCAGCGGGTCATTCGCCACGCCGGATTAGTGCCAAAAGGACAGTCTCGCCACGGCTGGACGGAGGAAGCAACGGAGGCCGAGACGGCGCCCACTGATTGACAGCGGCGCCAACAGTGTGGAATGTCGCCAAAGAGGGTTTTGGAGCCGCCGCTCTATCTCCCGCCTGGGCCACGCATCGTTAGCGCGTTAACCGGCAGACGACGACGGCAGACGACGACGGCGCTGGTCAAAGGGCTCTCCCCAGAGAATTCCACGAACCTGGCACCTCTCAAAAGGCCGCGCTAGGATCTCCTCGTGGGAACGCAGCCCGCGGCCGGCATCAAAGGGGTCGAGGCGCCCGTGCGTCTTCCGCTCTCCCCCTCCCTGTTCTACGGCAGCGCTGCGACTAGTGGCAAGAGTGTGTGTGTATGTGCAAGCCTGTGTTGTGCCTCTATGAACAGACATGATGGGCGGTACTTCATTGAGAGGAACTGCCACATCACCATTGGTCCGCATTGTTTTATATAGTGATCCCCAACCTAGGGACCTAGGGAACGGGGGTCAACAAAAAGGGCGTGGAGTGCCTCGCCCAACGTTCTTCTCTTCTCTTCTGTCATCTCGACAACTCACTGAAAAGATGTAAATAAATCCGTTAAGTTTGCTCAAAGCTCTCCCCTAGTCCTTGGCTCGACGGAGCGACGGCGATCGGCCCCGCTACCCGCAGACTGCGGTCGCCGCGACGCGCAACACCCCGGAGGGCGGCCACGCGCCCTTTCTGATCGGAATGATTTACTGCCACTAATAAATTTGGTAATATGGCGAAACCTGACATATTCAGACCGTGCTATTCCCGTGCTATTCAGACCCCATGACACCGGCGCCAGGATTTTTTAAACAGAAAGGGAAGGGGGGGGGAGACGACTCACGACACGCGAGTTCCTTCAGGGGGACAGGAAGGCTAGCAACTTATGCGTTGTGTGTCGACAATGCTTGCTCTTGGGGGACAAAGCGGAGACAGGCAGACAGAAATTATGAGGGGGGCTCCACTCCACTCCCCTCCCCCTCCCTATACACTACGCTGGCGCCGCCCCTGCCTATCAGCCCTTGTAATGTCTCGCGATGCCCCTATCCCTCACATAAGGAGATAACAAGCTCACTTATCGGTGTTCGTCTCAAACGTGGCTGTACGGGTTCGCAGTAACCGGGTGGTCTTCATTCGAGCGCCCTGATAGCTGATAACGTAAGCTTATCGGCGCTTCTTGTGGGTTAATATTCTTTACACGCCGTTTAATTGCTACCTCATGGCCTCCCCTTCAGCGACGATAACACACTACTTTCATCCGGCTGCGAGCGATAACCTTCAAAACAGCAAGAGAACAACCAGGCATCACGCAATGCGAATTGCGTAACGAGTGGGTCATCAAATGCTCCAACCCCATTACTAGAACTTCAGGCATAATTCTTCATCATCGTCAGCAACAGCATAAAAAAAGAGAAAAAAAAAACGCCAGGCCGGCGCGGAACGCGCAGCATAGTCACAGCTCTAGTTCACTATAGTCTCGTAGTAAGCTGGAAGAGTGACCTTTCAGAGCCTTTTCTAAACACTCTTTGGGTTACTACTACAAGCACACTTGCTGGGCATCCACTGCATAAATAATCATAATTTTTGTGTAGTAGATAGGCATTCGCTATGCTATCCTTCGCCATTCTTCGGAGAAGTGTGGCATCCCCTTCACACTAGCAAGGAATTTTGTGCAATTTTTTTATGCAGTGGTTGACGACGACGAAGAATTATGCCTGAAGTGGGTATGCGCCACAGTTGATAGGTGACCAAGAACAAGGTTTTATAATGGGTTGGAACATTGTACGACTAAGGTTGCACGGCGGGCTTGTTGGTTATTCATGTTGTTCGAGGTATAGCGCATCCAGGACGGGACAGAGAAGAAGACACAGAACACATACACGGGGCTAACTTTCAACAATGCGGTTTAATCCGAGAAACAGCAATACTTATACCCAAACATGGCGCGTCACAACCACGTGCTAGAACCAGAAAACTGATCTACTGTAACTCATGCGATATCCAAATAATGCAATTCTTAGTGGGTCGTCCAATGCAACATTGGACGACCCACTTGTTACGCGATTCGCATTCTGTGAAGCCTGGTTGCTCCTTTGCTGTTCTATATAAAACGCTTTATTACTCATACTAACGCGATTCCTTTCCCGACATCAAGCCTGCCTTAGGCCAGTTTGCAAAGGAGTCTCAAGCACCTGCGTGGATCTGCGGTAGAATATAGGACCGGCACGCAGGAGACCTGAGTTCGAATCCTGCGGTGTCCTTGGTATAGTGGTTACGGACACCGGCGGCGGCGGCAGACTACTACGGCGCCCCACGCGATTCTTGTTGTGATCTCATAGCAGCTTTCGCTGTAAAGAAATGCACAAAATTTCTCGCAAGTTCGAATTGGGTACCAAGCTTCTCCGAAGAATGACGGAGGATGGCGTGGTGAATGCCGGCCTACCACACAAAAAAAATGATTATTTATGGCGTAGTGGGTAACGTGCAAGTGTCTTAGTAGCAGATACCCGAGGAGTGTTTGAAAAAGGTTCTGAAATAAGTATTACCTTAGGCGTGCACAGGGCTCCTCTTCAAGGGGTGGTGGAGATTCGCCGACGGCTCCCTCTGGCTATCAAGTCAATGTATAGGGCAGAACATTACGCCCCCCCCCCCTACATTTTCAATGCGCACGCTTACGATTCTTACGTTCTATTTTGACTACGTTTGCTAGCAAGTGGGGGCGGGGGCACAGGCGAAATGTTTTTTTTCTCTGGGGGGAGGGGGGCAGCCTCGCAGCCATGGAGTGCCGTAGCCCTCCTCCCCTCCCACCGGAATGCTGATGTAGGCGGTTATTGAAAATAGGCCTTAATGTTTTTTCTGAAATAATGAAGGTCATCGGTGTGCCCCGCCCCCTTCTACTCTATCTGAAAGAAATAGCTGGCGACGGGCCTGCATCGCTTCGTACACAGCGGAAAACACGCGGACGTTTCAGTTGTAAGCGGCCGCACGTTTCACCAGAGTGTGACAACCTGTTTTCGCACGTGCGATGATGAGCAACCTCCGAGTAAACAGTCGCTTGACTTTCGAGACAGACCAGACTGGTCGCGCCGGCGAGAAAATGGAAAAAAAAAGAACGAGAAAGTCTTGTTCAGCCATATATGCTAATCTTAGAAGTGAGCGAAGCCGGCAGTGTACACGGCTGCCTTCACTCGAGGAAACACACGACGACGTTTAAGAAGAGGCAGCTCGTCGAAACCAACTGTGCGATTGCGATGCGAGTAGGCCATTTTGGAACACCTTGGAACTTGTAACCATATAGGCGCACGCACAGGGAGCAGGTGGGCGACTGGAACACTACTTACATATCAGGGGGGGGGGGGGTCCAAAATTTGCCCCACACAATGATTTCATTAGTAGGGGGGTAGCTGCTATGACTCCCCCCCTCTCCCATCACGAGGAACCCAAGCTGAAAGCGATGGAAGCAGTTGACGTGCTTAACGTTCTATTCGCTTCAATGCTTGGACCAGTGACAGCAGAAGAAACGACGACGCGTTTGCTGAGGGCAGAAGAGAAGCTCATGTCAGACGAGCAGTTACAATCGGTCGTATTTTATTTTGTATTTTGTAGCCATATATGAGCGAACTTTAAGACACCTGAAGACAGGTACTCTACTCTGTCCTGCAATTATCAAACCCTGTGGGGAGACCTGTGACATCTTCCACGTGGTGTCGGCACGTGGAAAAAACCCACCTGCTCCCTTCTTGAACCTTCGCGAGAGGCATGGGAGACTGCCCCCCTCAACTGCTTCTCGCTGGCATCTCAACGGACTCTGGTGAGACGGGCTCTAGTCGGGGCCTCGTCATGAGTTGTCCCGGAATAGGGACACCGACCATGTAGCGGGGTCACGCTTTGGCCCCCAATATCTTTCAGGGGCGAAGCTCCTCATGCCGTGGGTTGTATGTCCCGCGTCATCGTAGTCATCGTACTAGCCAGTTGCATTTGCATTGCATGTGAATAAAAACGGTATCACAACATATCCACGGAATGAATGATGATGAGTGGGGCGAAGCGTCCGTCAGCCCGTCCATCCATGCGTCCGTCCGCTTCGCCCCACTCATCATCATTCACCTCGTAGATATGCTGCGATTTTTTTTTACAATACATGTTTATCAGCTAGCTGCAATACATACATCAGCTAGCTGAATGTATACCTGGTTTTCTTGGGCTACCGAATCTGTGACCGCATTGTTTTGCCGGTTTCCAAGGATGCGATTTCCGTAAATATAAAGTATACCTGAAGTCTTCAGCCTGTCCCGTACGGTTTTTCGACGTCCTCGTTTGTCGCGCTGTACTACATACACGAGAAACTGTACATCGATTCCGTTTCTTCCCCTTTTATCGGGCATAGATGCCGATGTCCCACTTCACCAATTTCTTAACCACTGTTGATGTGCTGCCCGGAATGAGCTAACCGCGATGCGGCTATCGCAAAGTGCTTCAGTAAGGCGGGCTTCAGTCAAGAGGCGAGGTTGTCGTTCGGCCTCGCGACCCGATAAGTGTAACCTGTGCCACACCTCTAAAGTGTTACGATATAATGCAGCTTGCGTTGAATTCTCGTGCGCAGCCTATCGCGCCGAGATGGCACTGCCATGCACTGTCGAAGCCACTGCGGAGGGTTAAGTGCGAGCGCTAACCGAAAGCGAGGTCGTCGAGGACCTGCCACCATTATGCGGCAATGCTTCGACAGCGGTTAGCTGCATCGCGTCCTTGAGACAATTCGTTGGTTGCAAGTTCTGCGCAGAGATACGCGCCGTCCTGGATATGTTAGAAGTTGCGCCATGGAAGGGCCCGTCGGCCTCACACAGTTAAAAAAAAAAAAAAGAGATAAACAGTGTTCTCAAAGACACTGACACAGATATTAGAAATTTTCGCATTGTTGCTTAAAGCCATTCATACGTCACCTGTGAATAACTGTCTTTAGTGGAAAAATAGCATGATAATATGTAATGTTAATTCATCTGACTTACAGTAATTCATCCTAATTAAGTTTTAGTTAAATATGTATTGATCCTGAAGTCATTGAAGCTCTGCTTTGTCATAAATGAATCAAAATCTCAGACTAGCAATATAGCGCAAGTTCTTTTTTTTTTTTTTTTGCTACGGCCATTTTGAGCAAGAAAAACATGGTTCGCATGCAGGAAGAGGCACGTCAATGACCCGTTAAACGTCGTAGTGGCTTCAGCAGAGTGATCGTATGCACAGCCAAATGAAGTTAAGTGAAAACAAATTTATTACGCAGCAGGTTCGATTCATCGAAAGCTCGGCGTAAAAACATATGGGCTGAGAATCCTGCACCGAATAGCCGAGTCCCTCGGATCACATTAAATATGTTTTTAACGCCGTTTTCAGTCTGGTATCGAAGGCGCAGTTTCAGAGCTGCGTGTCAGAACATGTCCGACTTGGAGCTATGTCACGTGGGGACAGCAAGTTGAGACTTAACTAGCTACAACTCTGGAGATAATGATAATACTTGGTGTAGTCGCGTCCCAAAACCACGATATGATTACGATAGACGCCACAGTGGAGGGCTACGGACCACCTGTTGCTCTTCACGCAGTTTACACGGCTAAGTCGAAATGCGACCGGTATCGAACCCGAGACCTTCGGGACGCCGGCACAGCACTTTAGCGCACTGACCCAGCATGGACGATATGATCTGGGGATCAATGCAATCGGGACACGGACGTTGACAGATGTGTTCTGCATTTCCCGTCTTCGCTCAAGTCGTGCCACGTTTCTGCGAGCTTCTCTAGCACCCCTGCTCTTCTTTTGCATTTTATGACGAAGGCTTCCCCGACCATATGGGACTTCCGTCAGGACTTCCATCGATGCGTGTACTCACCAGGCCTCCTCCGACGACCGCTAGCGAATCCTCCGTCGCAGCCATAAACGGCCCGCTGGTGTGCGCTGTCCTTCGGCGACTGGGACGACGGAAAGACCGGGCTTATCCGCACGCTCGATCCGCGAACGGCGGGGCGAGAGCGCTTGTAAAACGCTTTTCGCGATACAGCCAGCTGTGCGCAGACTGGAAAGAGAAAGGCAGGGAGACAGAACTGCCGCGGGCGGTTTCTCTTTCTCTTTATTGGCTCGCGTCCTGTCGCCGCTACCATTAGTACGTGCGCCGGTGACAGGTACGCATTCCGATGCCAATACGTTTGACAAGGGACCAACGGTTGCGGAAACAATATTGCGAAGAAGGCCATTGTCGCATTGTTGTCCACATTGAAGTTCTTATTATTAGTCAAGCCAGTTCACTTATAGGGGCACTAAATTTCTCTTATAGGGGCACTAAAGTTTAACACTAAATGACTTGAACTGATGAATTATACTTCGCGTTTTTCATTATATTTAATTTCACAATTTCTCAATCTTTCATCGCAGAATGGATGGATGGGATGTGTTGGTGGCGGGGCCGTAGCCAAAGCGTGGCACACCGGGCACGTGCCCCCCCCCCCCCCCCCCCCCAAACTTTTTTTTTTCGCCACGGCGCCCCGCCGCGGTGGTCTAGTGGCTAAGGTACTCGGCTGCTGACCCGCAGGGCGCGGGTTTGAATCCCGGCTGCGGCGGCTGCATTTCCGATGGAGGCGGAAATGTTGTAGGCCCGTGTGCTCAGATTTGGGTGCACGTTAAAGAACCCCAGGTGGTCTAAATTTCCGGAGCCCTCCACTACGGTGTCTCTCATAATCATATAGTGGTTTTGGGACGTTAAACCCCACATATCAATCAATCAATCAATTTTTTCGCCACGGCATATAGAGTGGAAAATGGCCATATTAAAAAGAAGCCCCCCCCCTCCCCTAAAAAAAAACAAAACAAAAAACTTCTGGCTACGCGCATGGTTAGTGATGATCAAAATCTGACTCTTCAAGTTTGGGTAGAACTCTGGGCCTTTAGCACGGTGCTATCATTGACATTCCCGAAGCTCAGATAAGGCGCGGCGCAGTAGTAATTAAAATGAAGGTCAACAGTTATTTTTGAATTTCGCGCCGCAAAATTTGCGAAAGAACGCCATTGTGATGTCACGGACCCTGAAATAACTTGATGCCTCGTGATTACGGCGGGTTAATAAAGTTTCCTTAAACTTCCCGCGCTGAGGCACTGGGAATGCCCCATGCAGGCCACAGCTGTATGTAGACGTCTTCGATATCTACGACGTCATAAATATTTGGTGCGGGATCATCACGGTGGCGTCGCGTTTTCCGTCTTCACCAAGCATCTTGCCCTGTCATAGCCTTATGTTCCAACTTTACTTTATGTGCACTAAAAATTTATCCTAGAATTTAACAAAACAGCACTTACACACGTGCACTTACACACGTCTGGTTGTAAGAGCGCAGCGTTAATGTCTGTCATGGGAAACTCGAGCGGTATTGTTTTGTTACCTCGCATTTCCAGCCATGCTTTGCTGAAATATACCCCCTTCATAGAACAATTTGTTCTGCAAAGGCTGTGAGCAGCAAACAATGCAGACAGTTCGCCAGCAGAACCAAGCTTGTACGTTCAAGCATATACTAGGTTTTACAGGTAATTTCCGAGATATATTTCAGGTAGTAACAAAACAGGAAGCTAACAGGGTGCAATTTAACAAGCAATGGATCTACAGACGCCTGTGCATCATAATCTCTTTAACACGTCCTTCGCCCATTGTGTCTGTCCGATACTAGCGAACGGTCATGGGCTAGATTTTCCCAAGCTGGTAGCATGCATGGATGCCCTAATGTTGAAGTAATATGTCTGTAACCGTGGGCCAACGTGTGCCACTTGTCGATGAGGCACGGGAATAAGTTTCGCAACGTAGACTGTAACGAATTAAGGACATCGAATGTGCTCAAAAAATGAATGGTTTTGGCATAGACGCTCAATAAAAGCCAGACTTGCCCTCAAGGACAAATTCTTCCGAGGCACAGATGTGGGCAATGTATTCGTTTTATTACTGAGCGGATTTTTTTTTCTGCGGTCGCGTGAAGAGGGCGTTAAAGAACTACCCTTCCACGTAATCAACGATTAACCTCAGTATCAGAGTTTATTGCCTCCCAAGCCGATTGATGCAAATATTCTTTGAATCTATGAAGCACGAGTGGAGTAAGAGCAAAAAATAGGCTGCATGCTACAAGCTATGCAGGTAAATATTGCAAGAAGTGGGCTCGAGATCATGCACACGTCATGACTTTGGGCGCGCATCGGGAAACACGATCACCAGCTCCCGGCGTTATTCTGGTGTGCGCTAGTGTTGCCACTGTGTAACATTGGCGCACTCGGATGACACTTGTTCGGCAAGTGGCATGCATCTGACCCAAACTAGGGAGCCTTTATGTGCGCACTGCCTCCGTTTTGAAGGTGGCGCGCACTTGAAAGCTCCCTAACCCAAGCGCCTCTCTTGGTGTGTCAGATGTTGGCCATTGGCAGCAATGTGCTGCATGCATAAGGCTACAAATATATTTAAACTGTGCCTTAAGTTCACATGTGACAATAAACCCAATTGGTTAGTACCGCAAGCGACATGAAGTAAATCTCCCCAGCTTTTTTTTTCACAAGAAAGACAAGTCTAGAAGTGCAAATACATAGTTCTGCAAAGTTGAAGCAGTTATCTGAGGGGCACGTGTGACTAAAGGTTTATTAACTCCAATATTTAGAAAAAGTTGGATATTTCAAACTATAAACCGCACCCAAATGAACCTAGAACAGCCATAAAACAAGAGTTCCTGTAGTCCAACAGGACATCTTTCTTCAGGCACACCACTTTACCAGCTATACAAAAATTGATATGTGGGGTTTTACGTCCCAAAATCACCATATAATTTTGTGAGACGCCATAGTGGAGGGCTCCGGAAATTTCCACTATTTTGGTTCTTTAATGTGTACCCAAATCCGAGCACACGGGCCTGCAGCATTTTCACTTCCATCGGAAATGCTGCCGCCCCAGCTAAGATTCGGTCCCGCAACCAGCGGGTCAGCAGCTGGGTACTTTAGCCACTAGATTACTGCAGCAGGGTAGCTAAACAAGAATCACCGTTTTTTCATGTGGAAAATGATTTTCATGTTTTCACGTGGAGACTGTTTTTCATGCGAGAATGAATACCCAGCAGATTACCGGTAATCTGTGGCAGCCAAGTGACTGCTGACTGCCAAAAAAAAAACTCCGGGAACATTTAGGACAGGTTCTGTATGTCAGGGCCCCCTACATGGGTACCTATAAAGGCGTAAAGCATGACCCATCACAAACACAACAGTCAAGTCTTTCACGGTACAGCACGTGCACACTGATGTCACTATCCCTGTCCGACATAATTTTGATACTGTTTCTGTTGTCAACATTGGACATTTTGGCCTGTGACACATACGTGGCTTATAGCATCTGCAGTATACATGAATTGAAATGCCACACTGTTTAAAAAAATTGAAATGACAGCTATGAGCAATAGCTCATTGAAAATGCATCATGTCGCAGCAAATCTGGCGGTTATAGGCAATGTTGAGACTGATTTAAGAGTTCGTCCCAAATTGCGTCGATGTGAAACGAAGTGTAGACGCTAGATTCGAAAGCATGACCGATATTTGGCTTCAATGTTGCCTATTTTGATCTGATAGTAATGTGCATAATGTGTTTCCTCGACAGTAGATACTGTAGTAACACAGGGCAGCTGCGATTCTCTGTGAAGCATTTTATTAGCCCCACCTCAGGCCTTACATTATGTACACGTTGCATTCCGTTCATCTTGGGTGTCGAGCGGAAGGACAACTCGGTTGGTTCCACTGCGTACGGTGCACCAACTGGTTGGGCAGAAATGCGAGTGCATCCGTGGCACAGGATTTACTACTACAATACAGCTGAGGAAAAACACGGCACCCAACTGCAGCGCATCTCTTGCCCTCTCCCACCCCTTCAAAAACCAGGGGTTCCAATGAAACCATGCCCCACCAAGGCCTCACAGCATGGCTTGCACAGAATCTCAGCGTAGATTTAGTGATAGCTGACCCAATGTTAGTGCACCTTCATTGTTCCTTTGCACAAAAAATTTTTAGGTTCTGTGCACGAGTGATGCTGCTGTTTTTTCTTTTTTCATACTTACGCCATCGTTCCTTCACACAAGCCAACTACTTGCATTGCTATTTCTAAACTTCTCTTACAAGCCAAAACCTCCAATACGGCTGCAACCAGACAGGCAAAGTTCTATTAACAACCCCCTTTCCTCTCCGCACATACCCAACTTGCCTTCAACAAGATGGCCTCATTGCATTTCTTACCACTGCTAATGCTGAAAAGCAAGTTTGGAAGCTTTGGCAGTGCTGGGATTGGCTTTACATAATATCACCAGCCTGTCATGTTGATATCTTAATAATGATTATAGTTCTAGGGCCTAGAACTTCATTAGGTAGAGAGAGGTGCTTGGACAAAAGCACTTCCAAGTTTTGCATATTGTTCCAAGTTTTGCAACAGTATGTACTTCTTTCGTCTGTCAAGAATCAAGCTATCATTATCAAGAACGTTATGCGGCCGCAGTGTGCGGGTGTGAACTTGCTGAAGAACACCCACAAATATAGAAAAACAGCACTGCAAGCGTCAAAGGCACGTCATCACCTTGCAGTGTGTAATATGGATTGCTCCTTAAAACCCTACAGGTTAGATTTTTATATACAAAAATTAACTTCCATTATTTCTCTCTTCAGAGTGAACCCTCAATGACCACAATTATTTGAATTTAAGGGTTCCACAAAGTTCTAGAATTGTGTCTAGAACTTAAGAATCAAGTGCTACATGTAGCCAAGCCAACACAATTTTAAGCCACGAGAAAGCCTTTCAGGGCAAGACTATTACTAAAACTGTGGTGCATAGATGCCAAGTTGTGATTTGAAAATTGGACTTTGTGATTTCAGACAAAAGCATTTGCAGACACACATTGACACCTGAATAGGCAGGTGAAATGTCTTGCGTATTCTGAAAGTATCCACTTAACAACATCAAAAAAACAAGAGGCCAGAAATCTCTGAAGGACATTTTTAGATAAAAGTTATCGACACAATGAACGAGGGACATCTTACCCGCAGTCATGCATCGTGAACGTCGTTATTGAAAACACTACACCTTCGTGATGTCCCATCAAATTTGTGTTGTCGCTGTTACCTTAGTATAGCACGTAACAGACCAATGTCAACAAGTGCTGCTCAGTTTTTTTTTTTTAAACACAAGCTCGGAAGACGGCATTGTAGCAAAGCCCGAAGAAGAATTGTGTTCCATGTGTCATGATTCGTTGCACCCTTTGAGAGTTGAATGTAGACGGTGAAGGCAATAAATATTTCGGAGTGTCTTTCCCTCTGAGACATTAGTGTTTTTTGCACAAGCACTTCTGAAACATGCAAAAAGGACGTAATACTACACACAGAGGCAACATGCCCGGCATTCAATTGTTTCTGCAATCGTAAAATCATTCATAATATGGTAACTATCATAAACAACACAGGAGGGATTAAGAGGGGGTAACCTTTGCAGATGACAGAGAGGGGGGGAGGGGTAACCTTCGATAGACGACACACTTCATCCTTCAGTGGCTCATGTGTTCCATTTCTTTCACTGTGGCCGATGACGCATGTGCACCGAGCAGTCTTAAATGACGCGTTGTGCCTCAGCTGTGCCCTGCACTGTTCACCAAGTTCCAACGAGGGGCCTCCGCTCAGGAGAGGATGGCCTTGCGGTCACTGGCCGAGTAGCCGCGACCCCCACCGCACAGGGCGCCCGTGCTGCCGTGGTAGGAGAACTGTTGGAAGTACGGCTGCTCAAACTCCTCAGATATGGAGTTGAGGGGGCCTTCTTCGGGCGGTGTCAGTTCGACGGTCTCGCCCGTGAACTCTTGGTCGAAGTAGCGTGTGTCCGTGTCGGAAGTCACCAGCGGCTTGAAGGGCGGTGTCACCTTAAATAAGGGAAAGTAGTTTTTAGACAGGAACTGTTATATCTCTTAAACTAGAAAGATGAGAACTTCGGCATTTATGTGTAGTGAAACCTCAGTGATACGATCACAACTTGTATGAATTTCGGGGTGATACAAATTTTTCTGTGGTCCCGACTGAGGCAAATTAGCTTGCGATGTAATGGAGTATGGTTGTTCTAAACCGATTTTCACCGTAACATACGCTACAGGTAAAAACAGGTGCAGCCCACACTGTCGCAGAAGACTCGGCAATGGTGCTAGTGCGGGAACCCACGCATGGGCATGTGTGCTCCACCACCAATTGCCCAGCAGAGATGCGTAGTAGCCTTTGAGATAGTGCGCGCGAAGTTTGGAGGCCTTAAAAGAGCACTGACAAAAAATTTGCACCTTGTTCTTTTTTGCCGAGACAAGTAGCTTATGACCCACTTATCCAAGCTGGTAACCTCGTTTGAGTGAGTGTGCGATGGTTATTTATTGAGAGACGTTTTTAGAGTACCCAGTTGCTGCTTCAGTTTAAAAGAACACCGAGCTAGGCTGGGCCAATTCCGATGGCTAAGTAAACACAGCTGGCCATGTAACCACAAAAAACTGTGATGTGGGTGCTGCATGCGAGAGGGCGGCGCACTTTCCCCACTTACCAACTAGCGCCTCCTCTGGCAGCCAACCCAAACTTGTGACAGCTTTGTTTACATTGGCACCATGTTCATGTCGGCGTTGCGAGGTGCTCGGCATCTCGCCCAGTCGTGCGCTATGCACTTTAAAATTGATTTTAAATATGCTTTAGGCTATACTTGCACTTGGTACTACGTAGATGTATGTCGTAGCTGTATATTGGCTTTCTTCTGTTGCATACTTAATGTATATGCTTTCAGGTGATACGAATTTCGGATGAAACAAACGTTTTTGGTGACCCCACGAGGCACAGAGGTTTTACTGTATTTTCACGAGGTGATACAAAATATGAACAAAGTTTTTATGCAGACTATGATATCGGTATTAAAATGAATTATTCATCACGTCATTTGATCATGTATTTATTAAACTGGCTGCACAGATCTTGCTGAATAAAGTGCCACTGCATTTCACACGTGCCAAGGCATGCGACATTTCTAATTTTACAGTCCTAGCTTTTCAAGAATACAAATTGTGAAGACAGTTCTTACTTTAATGACTGAGAAATGGCACATTTTCTTTAATTTATGCTTTCTAAAACACTTCTCAAAGTGACAGTTGATGCCCTTTTGCACCCTCTAAAAATTGGGCTTTTCAGACCAACGAAAATAATTAAGATAGAGTGCCAAAGCTGAAAAATGCTTCTCAGAAGATTGTGCAGTGGTGAAAAAATGATAGGGAAAAGAGCAATTAACAAAACACGATCAGTTGCTGATGTCATATAAAAGGCTGTCATGGCTATAATATTGATCGAGGCTGCATGAAAATCGGTGAAGTTGTGCATCTATGATGGCAGAATCCAAAATTAACTATGGAAAAAAATAGTTTTTTTTTACAACTTTCAGTATCAGAAAGCAGCTTAAAGGGCCACTCACCAGGTTTGACAATTTTGAGATGACAAGCGCAACGCGTAGATGAGGCGTTCATGATCACGTCTACCAAAATTTCCGATGATTTGCGCTGCGGAAATGGGTCAAATTTCAAGACGAATACTGCTACCCCTTCTTTTTGCGGGCGCGCACCCAGAGAATGAGGGCATGACGTGCGCGTATGAATGGCCCTACGTACACGGCAATGCAGCGACGTTGGTTCTCTAAGTAGACGATTATGCTCTGCCGTTGCGAACAGCTGCACGTGACATGGCAAGAATTATTTAAAACACAACCTGTAGTTTATGTATTTGTTGCTTGAAGAGATTAATAATCTCTAGATAAATAATGAGAGGCAATAAAGGAATGTGAGCGTTTTTTTTTTCATCCCCCCCCCCCCCCCCCCCGTGATTTGCAACGAGATGCGGGGCTAATGTGCCGGTGCTTCGCAAGCGTTCGTGCCCCTGCGATTCCGCGGTCAGCGCATGGAGCAGACGACAGCCATGGAACGCTCCTATGCGTTCGCGCACTCATTGTGCTCATCTATTCAACTGCATCTAAGCCAGCGCTTCCATACCTTCCCGCAGAGACAGGCAGTAGACAACAAAATAACCTGGTCAACAAAACGTCGCTCGCGTGCTCGAGGGTTGGGCTTGTTCAGGCACTACATGCGCACGTGACCTCTTGGTCGGATGCCGGAGAGAGTAGGGAAGAGATTTGGCTTGCGAAGGCTATGCGGAGGAGCGGCAAGGGTTTCGAGATCGCCTTCTTTCATGCTCGTTATGCGCCGCTTCAAAAACACAGTTTTCTCAGCTCGTAATGAACTGATTAAAAAATTCTTGTAGCAAAATGTTCCTCATCGGACAGCCTAGGACATCGGCAACTTTCACGGTCTAACTAAAATTTGGTATGGGGCCTGGTGAGCGGCCCTATAAAGAGGCCATGGCATGTAGTCCAAAAATTTGGTGTTTCCAGGAAAAAATTGAAGAAACGTGTCTATTGTGCCTGCACGTGTATAAAAAATGGACTGTAAAAGACTATCTCAGTGCAATACCAGCTCTAGAAGTCGCTGGCTGTAAACCTTCCTCACCACCAGCGACTGCCATTTTGCCATGGCATCTGTGACGTCATGGGTCAAAGATGATGGTTGGAGCCATCATCTTTGACCAAAGTTTCAGCGGCTCTAAATAATTCGATTTCAATGCCAAGCTGAAGAAAGCTGAAACGGCAATATCATTCACCTGAATACAGACACTAGCACAGCAAGCAGATTGCTCCATCATGACTCGCAAGTGCGTTGGTGTTATTTGTTTTTTAGTTTGCCTCGTTGCCACATGTTTGTGAGTGCAGAAGGATTAAACTATATAACTAGATTACGTTAAAAAATTGGTAGTCATGGCCCCTCAAACAAAAAATGCTGTGTTTCTACACACGAAATATACCATCGGACTAAAAGCATTTGAGTGCAGACAATATACATGTACAACAATTCAAGAAATAAATGGAAATCGCTCACACTCACAAAACATGTTTCTGCTAAGGGCTCTCTAAAGCTCATTGTCACCTGATTTCTCTACCACTGATGCCACTTATAGTCACCTGATTTCTCTACAAGTGATGCCACTAGTGTGGTTGGAACACTCATACCATGCTAATTACTGCTGCAAAAAAAGCAAACCAAGCTTGGTGAAGCAGCAAGCTTCAGTCCAAACAGCAGGAATGGTACTCTGAATTGGTGCAGAGCATCACAAAATGAAAAAACTTGCGGTTGAGCCAGCCAATCGGAAAGACAGTGTCTAGGTAAGTTCTCCGTTCGTGCTATGGCAGTTAAAGTATGACAACCCAACTTGCCCAATGATAAACACCGGCAAGAACCGTACTCACCTTCTTCTGGGCCACATCGTCCCAATTGACGGATCGGAAGAAGGGGTGCACCTTGATGTCGGCAGCGTCGTTGACCGAGCCACCCAGCCGGTGCCTCGGGTTCTTGACGAGCAGGCCCGAGAGCAGGTGCCTCGCCTCGGGACTCATGCTCTTGGGGTACTTGACTTCCTCGACGAGGATCAGTTCAAACAGTACGTCGTGGTCTCGGCTGTAGAAGGGCAAGCGGCCACACATCATCTCGTACATGACCACGCCCAGCCCCCACCAGTCAACGGCCCGGCCGTAGTCGGTGTCCTCCAGCACTTCGGGTGCAAGGTACTCGGGCGTGCCGCAGAAGGTCTTTGTCGTGGACCCGAAAGAGATGTCCTCCTTGCAGAGGCCAAAGTCTGCAATCTTGACGTGGCCCTCCCTGTCCAGCAGAAGGTTCTCCAGCTTCAGGTCCCGGTAGATAATGCCCTGTGTCAGCCCACGAATGCGAGAAAGTTCTCGGCAAAGTGGAGCAGGCTCCAATGTTGGTAGAATCTGATGCTAAGCCTGTTGGCACATACTTTGAAGGAACGACAGACCCAGCCTCGAATGATGGTGAGAACATTTCCCAAACACACACACTGGTTGTTTGTGCAATTTAATCCGTTCGTGTACCTGTCCTCCAAGGCTAGGTTTGTCATTCTTTTTTAATCCAATATTAGAACTAACAAGGCCTTAAAGAAAAGAAGCAGCGAGGCCATCGCAAATGGCTGCAAGACTGAAAGACCATTAGCAGGATTTTGCTCATCAGAAACATTTAAAGGCTATCTTTCGACTGATGACTCTAGTCGCCCGTCTACATGAAGCCAGCCCCTTTTCCTCCCCTCTCCAAGGCAGTTCGATACTGTTATTATAAGAGAGTATGTGTAGTATCTTTACACGAGACCTTCCACATGGTTTGAAAATTATGTAGGCAGAGAGAGGGAGAGAGATAGAAAAGAAAAAAGGGAGACGAACGAATGCATTTATACAACAAAACACAGGCTCCACGTGACCACTTCCCACAAGTTTGTTACGGTTATCTCTATGCTGTTGCCACAATTCCTGGTAGTTAACGTGCAAGGTCTGTATAAAAGAAAATAATATTGTGGCTAAGGACTACTCGATGTTAAAACATGGTGACCGTAGTGAATGTCTTGCAGTCATAGTTAAGCCATGATGGATGTCAAGATGGAGGCCTTGGAATATATTCTGACGTTCTGGTTAATTATTAATAGACACCCAAAATACGCATGCAACTGTTCCTACATCTTTACCCCCTTAGCAACAAGGCCACGAAAGGCTAGTAAATCTAAAGATGAAGGGCACAAAAGGAAGAGCAGACACTTCTTTCATTGCTCACGGATAGCCAATTAGCATAACAGTAATTTTTGGTAACGATGGAGGATGGAGACGACGAGATTTCTATACACATTTGGATCAGTAGTTCACACTGCGCTGACTACACGGAGCCTTTCAGAGCACAGAGGGGTCCTCGGTTAATGGGAACACTTGGTTGCTGCGCTTGAGTGGATTTCGCACTCCTGCAGGTGCTGCATCTCATCAGATTTCACTCTCTTGCAAAAGTATGGTGGTTTAGATATGTGTAAAACTACTGTTGATGGCTGTTGACAATTCACATTCCTTTTCCCAGATTTGTAAAGTGTATGAAAATTGATTCTTTATCAACTGGCTGTTAGAGGGCCAGCGATATGAACAGCGTTCACTCGAGTGCTTACTTTAAAGCAGCAAAACAATAACGTACATCCTAAGGCCACTGAACGCTCATGCGTGTGCATCAAGCAGGGTGTGGCAAGCGAGACACACACCTGGCTGTGCAGATACTCGAGGGCGAGCAGTATCTCGGCCGAGTAGAAGCGGGTGCGCTCCTCCGTGAAGACGCGGTCGCGTGACAAGTGGAAGAAGAGCTCGCCGCCATTGACGTACTCCATGACGAAGCAGAGCCGGTCGGCCGTCTGGAAGGAGTAGCGCAGCGAGATGAGGAACGGGTGCTTTGTGCTGCGCAGCACCCTGTTCTCAGTCAGTGTGTGGGCCACCTCATCCTTGTCTATGACCACCTTCTTCTTGAGGATCTTGATCGCGTACAGGGACTCCGTGGACTTCTCGCGACACAGCACCACCTTGCCAAAGGTGCCCTTGCCGAGCACCTTGAGGAACTCAAAGTTGTCCAGGCTGAGGCGGTTGCCCGTCGCGTACGTGCGCGTCGAGATGCTGAACTTGTCGCGCAGCGACTGCTCGTCCTTGGGCTCTGCCATCTCGACGTCCTCCTCACTCGCCAACTTCTCAGACACCTGCTGGATGGCCTGGCACCAACCCTCCCTACGTCAAGCACAGAAAAGCACCACGAGGTAAGTGGGGCCGTTAGATAGACAGACAGGTTTTCAACATGTACTGAACAACTTACCTTTGGTATGCGCCACAGGAAAAGCTACTCAGGATAGCTACTCAGAAAGCATGCTACTCATGATAGCTATGATGATGAATTAACGAATTGATCGCCAGAGAAAGTAGCAACACACTATAATGGGATTAAACACCATGTGCCCCAACTGCACCCTTTACTACCGATCATTGTCTATACGGCCACCTGCATGACATTGAAGTACTAATCGCACAATGCCTGAAAGATGCAGAATCTATGAAATTCTCTAACCCCGTATTTCACCAAAAACAAAGCATTTAAATTTTCCTTTTTTCCGCGTACCATGTCAGAGTGGAACCAGAGTGGGCCTGACTTATCTCAGCCAACTTGCTGTTGTTTAGAGCTAAAATATGCACTGTTAATTTGTGTTTGTTTCTATTTGATGTAAACTTTTATGCGTCTCTATTTTTAAGTTTTATGCGTTCTGTTAGTACAAGTTTTCGATTGTATTTCTCGTGATATATTCTCATGTTATCCCATGTGTTTTTGTATTTATATCCTGCCTTTTGTACTTGTCCTTCTTGGACCAGTTGTGGGTCTGTAGTATTCAATAAATAAAATAAATAAACACACACCTGCTGTAAACCAGAGTACTTCTGGTTTGGTCCCTTATTGTTAGGTTAGGTTGCTAGCGGAACAAATAAAGCATTTAGTACAAGACGTTGCTAGGCTTGAGCAAATATTCGAATGCTTTGAATATTCTAACAAACAATGCAGTGTCCAAATTTGTTTTGAATAGAATATAGGTTATTAAAATTTCGAATTATTCGAGACGCATGAATAGGTAGGTGCATATAGGTCTGCATGTTACACTCTGCAAAGGTGGTTTCAGTGCAGTGGAAAGGTGCTAAGCAGCGAAAGCACCTATCCAAACACATTAATTTACATGCAACTTTTTGTAAAAGTGGCTTCACTGCTGTGAAGTGATGCTGAGCCGTGAAAACACATAATCGGGAGAAATCTGCACTTTCACGAAGCCCCACTTCAAAGTTATATGAAGATATCACCTTCACATTGATTAATCCCTTTTTTCAGTTGAAAGGCTTGTTTACTGACTAATATAATCTAAGTATAGCAAATTTTAAAACATAACATATTTCACAGGCTATCACTAGCATTCTGTGGAAAGTGAAATCCTGTTACTATAAAAAGTTATTTACACTACCTTTGATAAAAAAAGGCATTTGCTCAGGCCATGTTTCAATTTTCAAAAAATATTGTGCAGGTTAGTTGGGTGATGACAAATATGCACCTCTTTCATAATATGCGACATATACGCTGTTCAAACTTGATTCGGAGTTATTTGACCAAAATCACTATTTGCTTCGAACCTAAATTTCTCTATTCGCCCAAGCCTAAAGCATCAAAAATACTATCTAGCCTTCTCGTACATAAGAAAACTCATTTTGTTTTGCCTTGAACATTCCTTTTTACTGCAGTAAAGTGGCAGTCCTCACAAGATGACCTAAGGAGCATCTTAGCTTCACGAACCCTCCCTGACATAGCATCTGCCATTCTTGTGCACTATTGGCAATGAGGAGGCCACATACATTGAACATTCCTATTACATAAAGTTTTCCCATACCACTAGAGGCTGAAATATGTTGCTACACGAGATCATTTTGGTGATGACCATATCCTGTTTAACAAGAGAAATTAGTGTTAAGGTGAAAATTTTAAATTTAATGTATATTTTTAGGAATGCTTGCTGCCAGCAGATAACCATAACATGTAATTCAAGTAGGTCATTGGATTTGGCTAACGAAGAAATAACTGACTGTAGAACAATTAGATAATTATTTATGTTGCTGTTACAATTACTGTAAAATACACTTATTTATTATAACAATTCCACTTGCTTTAGGTTGACAAAACCTTGGCGTGAAATGGTGCAATTTTTATACGTTTACAGACAGCCCGTCACACGCAAGTCGCAAAGAGCACTGTGGTTAGATGATGCACTCAAACACGTCAATACTGCTGTCCAACAACTTGCCGACAGCACAGTATGGCGGATAACACACATCTTCAGAAGTATCAAAAACACGAAGCTTTGAGGATAAGCTCGTCCACAACAGCAAGGACTCACCGGTCATCTTCAGAGTCAACGCAGAACATGCGTTCAATGACCGTCGTCCACTGCAGGCCACGAATGATGAAGGTGAATGGCTTTGGCCGCTCGGACTTCATCAGCTGGCAGCCTACAAAAGAGACCAAAGGCTTATCGTCCATTGTGGCCGACCGTTTCCCAGAATGATGTGCGACATCAAACATAAATTCTTTGCCACACTGAATACGGATGACAAATTTTAAGGTATAGTTTTCCTCACTCTGGAAACAGCTTGGGAAACATAGTACAAGTGGTATTAAAAACACTTCCAGTAACTAAATTTGTGCATAATCATTTGCTGTATAGTATGGAGAGAGCTCAACTGCTGTTATATTGTGTGATGTTTTTTTTTTTCTGTTGGTGGTGGTCTGGATTACTCAGTAGACTAAATTACCAGATCACTATTTCCACTTAATTACATTACATGCATCTGTGCCTTTGTGAACATCAATACATCAAACAAGGTTTACATTGGCACATTACCTATCTTTTCATGCAAATAACGTGATGGTTTGATTACATAATATTTGCCCATGCTTGTATGGCTCCACAGTATGCCTTGTATGGGGGCATTGGCTTTCTTCAAGTGAACCGTTTCTTTTCCCCCAGGCTTGCTCACATCTGGACGATGTAAATAAACATTGACTTGATTTGGCACAAACCTTTTACAGTAAAGTTGTTCAGAGGGTCGGCGTGGCTATGCTCAGGCTTAAGCTTGAACCCAATCAGCGTGCCGTCCTCGCGCAGCACAAAGTAGCGTTTCCGCCAGTTCTTGATGTGTTCCCCTAGAATGAATGAAAAGCCGGGTAAAGAAGATGTACAGACACCAGCTCAAGCTAAACACCTGTTGCTAAGCCGCAGTAATTGATGAGAAATATTTGAATGAAACAGTTGCACCCAATATGCTTCCATTCCTTCATTCAACAATCCTCAACTGGCTTGCTTTCGTTTCCTTTCCTGAAGAATCTCCACTAGCTAGATCCCTATTTAAAATGCTATGTCATAAGGATATCGTGCATGAACAAACGATACACAATTTACTGAACTTCCTATCACTTTATTTATTTATTTATTATTATTTTACCATGGGAATCTCCTATACTTCAGAAGAATAAGTATTTCAGTAAACACTTTAAAAAATCCTTTAAAATGTCAAGTGAAGTTCAACTGCAATAAGCTTACATCAGAGAAAGAACAGCAAAAGCTGTAGAAGGCAGTGGCAAGAACAGAAGCAAATTAATTCACGACGTACCGACATTGTTGTGCAACAACATATTGCGGATAGATATGATACTGTACGACGTAGCGCATGACTGCATAAACCATTATAGAAGGCTTTAAAATACAGGTTGGAGAACTAGAGTGGCTCCACTGGGACACCCACTGTAAGGAAGTTACATAACCCATTGAAATTGGCGGTAACCCTTTGCTTGGAGACATGACTTACTTTTACCCATGCTGCACATTTTTGGTAAGAGACCCCCCATTTCCTGAGCTAATGATAAATTAAGCCATATTCTTGCCTAAAGATCCCTTTTATCACTTGTTGCTGAAATAGTTCACTGTACACGGTCGCTTTGGTGAAGGCTGTGCTGTGTTTAATAAGAGGTTGGATTTAGACATTTAGGCATGGATTTCAAAACATTTCCTTACCTCTTTGAAAATGCTCGCTGTGAGCAAATAACTACAGCATGTAATTTAAGAAGGTCATTGAAATAAGTTTATTAAAAATGCAGCATGAATGGCTGTGAAATAACTTGAAAAATATTTATGTTGCAATTGCAACGGCTGTAACATACACTATAACTTATTGAACGAAACAAGGGGAATTTAATGAGGGGCTGATTTTTTTGTTATACACAAATAAGTTTAACGGATCGTTAAGGCCGAACCTTTAAGAGCAAAAATTCACGCAACTGTCGCGCGATCGCTCGGTGCTTCAAATTTGAAAACTGTCGTCCAACACCAGGAAGTCATATGCTAAAGCAGCCGATTGCAGCCAATAGCGAAGCACCGAAATAGGATGTACATCAGTGACGTACTGCCTGTTGTCTCTACGTGCCGATGTACCGCAGTACAATGACCCCCTCTCCGCCAGAGTCACGCGTACAAAACGAAGAAATAATGAGATGTGTATGCGTGTGTACATAAAAAAAAGTGCTGCAAGGCGATAATAAACACGTTTCGTGGTTTCATGCAAAAACACATTTTATTTTTGCATTGCATACCGCTGACCAAGTGGCACTTTCGGTACGAGTAGACATCCACATGCCAGCAACAGCAAAGTTCGCTCGCCAAAGCTGTCGCGTGATGAGGTTTGGCCACGCAAGAGACCGTTCACGTGAAGGCGATCTACATAGCATTGCTATCACGTGCATTTTTGCCCTTATGGGGTTTCGCCTTTAGGTCAGATAAAGAAGAGAGGGAATTGTTTTTAACTGCAGTGTAATAATTATGATGAAAATAGAAATGAACTAATGCGGATGAAGTGCATTATTCATTTTGTTGAGGTTACTGTAATTTATCTCCTTGCGACACGAATTATGATGCACAGTCTTTAAATGTGTACGATTTACTACATTCCAAGAAAGAAAATGAAGCAATGTGTTCTATTGTGTGAGTTCGAGCAATTAGTTGCCATTGGCATGCAATTAAATATTTATTTAATCTACAGTCAGTAATGTTCCATTTCAAGCTAAAAAGAATAAAACATTAGGTTTCAAATGTGTGTGCAATTAGTTTTTGGTTGTATTCGTTTGAAGAACAGAAAAGTTCTACTTTTTGATTCCGGAATGCAGCAAGTTGAACATAGTGCTGTCTTCCCAACAGTGAAGTCACACGCAGCACACTGAGGTTAATTCAAGACATTCTGACTATGCACAAAGTTCAATTTATCTAATAAATAATCAATCTTGCTCTATTTTGGCTACAAGTTGATACAACTAGCATAAACAAGTTGCATGCACAAATAGAGTCACCATCAGTGATATGGCATCACTCTAACCCTTCCATCCGATTTAATGATTGGTTCTCAGAATCTTGCATCAAATTAAGCAAGTTTCATGCTTTTGTAGGCAAGCCGATCCTAAACCGTGCTGCTAAGGACGAATCGATCCATCGCAAGGACGGGCATTTGCTCAGTGGTGCATCGGGACAAACCTCGCTTGTTGAGCCAGCCTTCCTTAACGATGGACGGCTCAGGGTCGGCAGCGATGGGCTCGATGCCGAAGGGAGCCATGCCTAAGCCTCCTGGATGCATTCCGAGCGGGGCACGCTGTTGCGGCGCCAATGGCGCTTCCATCATCGTGACCCCGCCGGCCCAAGCCAGCCTGCACGACAACATGTTGTGTAAAAGCCCGCTACGTGGAGCAGAGTTCACGAAATACAATAATGTCATACACCAACTGTGGCAAGACCCTACAAGTACAACCCATACATTTTTCATTGAAACAGAGCTTCCAAAAACAACTTAACACACTCATTATTTTAAGCTTGGAAGGGCTTTGCGACGATCTGGCTTAGCTTGCTGCAAATGATGGTTCGCACAACACTTATATGGCGTATAATACAAAAGGACTTCATAGATCTCCTTGCTGTCACAGCAGTGCAACTTCGCCTGCTGGCTAAGAGCATGATGTGAACAAAACAAAAGAAGAAAAGATTTAGCTGAATTAAAAATGTTTCCACGGCAATTTCAAAAGGTAGCAAGCAGTACACTCTATGTAAAACTGGCAATTTAATTTGGTACAAAGACGCTACAGTTTAAGCAAGGCACGTTATTAGCCGCAATGCTTGGAATAAAGCACTATGAGGGACCAATGACGAGCGCACCGAAATACCTGTTGACTGAAAGGGCCACCGCTAATTCTGTGCATTCACGTAACACAACATACAAAATCAGTCGTGCTACTGCCATCTCGAATCGCATCGAAGTCAGGTTTCTCGCACCTCTTGGGCGCGTAGATCATCTCCAAGCAACCAGGCTCCCAGGGCGATAATTCGATTGCGTTTCCGTTTGCTAGTCCCCGTATCGCTTCTCCGCGCCCCAAAGAAATTGCACAGACGCGGCCGTTTTCAACTAAACCTGCAAGCTACCAACGATACGATCAGCGCAGACAAACAGCGCCATCGCAAGCGGATGTCGGCGCGCTAGCGCGTATTTTCGGTCGCAGGTGCGGATAAACAACAATCTGCGTCGTCCACTGAGCAACATTTCCGCTTTCAGCGAACAACGTCGTCACCCGCACTTGTAATGCAACGACGAGTTCGGCAACGACCTCGCCTGTTAGGTCGCCCGACTGAACCGAAGACGCGCAAACATCTTGTGACGGTGGCTGTAGGTGTTTTTCGAAGGGGGACACGGCAACTAACTCGCGCTAACGGCGCAGATGATAAGCGACGCTGCAGCGGCTAGACCTTGCGTAATACGACCACGAGGTGAAAACGGGAAGACACCCGAGAGAGTTCCGTTAGACACTTTGTTCGTTTTTCACGCTGGTAACTCGTTGCTGGCCGCAAACGAAAAGAGAGAAGGCGGGCACTGTCAACAAGATTTGACCGAAGGCTGTGCTGCGCACACTTTTGGCAAGCGCAAGATCTCGACACTTGAGCGATCGATTCGAAGACTGTTTGATATGCGATTACGCGGAAGAATCTTCGCGAGTGCTCTTTTGCGCCCCACACAAGTAACACACAAAGCTGCCACGAAACTCGTCAGGTAGCGTAAAATACTTAACGCCGCTGTCTCGAGGTCACGACGCGGCGTAACCTCACGGGACCCGAAGGCGACCAGCAAGGACACAGTATGACAGTTCACGCAGAGAGCCTCACTCACAAAAATATTCGACAAGGCTGTAATCCCCCAGTGGAAGCCAACGCAATTCGACTGTAGCAAGTGGGCTCACCTCGCAGCCGCAGTTTAACCCCGGCCCGAAGAGATTACTGATGCCGTAAAACAAGCCGTCCGAAGCAGCAGCAGGTCACCGGTGTCTTCCGCTTATATCCAGTCAGTGCTGAGGCTCCGTCGATGAGCGAACCTAGCGAACAAAAACAGGCGCGCAGCGTTAGCTTGACCGCTACCCCAAAATCTGCCAAGGCGGGCAGCCCCGCTGCCAACACCTAGGTGGGAAGGGAGACTGTTATCAGAACAGCACGCCACTTTCCTACTTCTACTACGCCGTGTCGCCGTACTGGCGGGCCTCACCGGCAACGTGAACACGAAGGCGGCTCGGTAAGAACGGGAATTTCGACCGCCGGCGAACGATTAATGCGGAGACCACGCTCCGATCATCAAAGTAGGCTTAGCGACGACTGCGGCGGCTGTGGTGCCGTCCGTCTCGCCTCCCACCACCGCCTTCCGTGTCGGCAAACATCGGTGGCGTAGTACAACCGTGCTCAGCGAAGACGCGCGCACAGAACACGTGTCAAGTGATTTTGCGATCTACAAGGAAACGCTTCTTACCCGCACATGGTCAGGAAAAGTTAACATTTGCCGGAGTCGCTCGCAACTTCCGAGAACGCACCGAAAGCCCCCCACGGTCGTTTCCAATGTTTGTTTGTTTGCACGTTTCCCGTGTGTGACCATCCGCGCCAGCGCCCCTCCTCTCCGCCAAGTTCACGAGCGATATCAAACAAGTAGGTTATGATGGGCGAGGCCGTCGTCAATTTGAAAGAGTTGCTCCAGTTTTATAGAAGGATGCGCTGCATCGAAGCCGACAGGCACGATTATTTTCCTTACTTTTGCCGCCCGTCGACATCGAACCCATGAACGTGCACGGATGAGGCGCCAACTCATGTAACGTGGCTCGTGTTAACATCGACAACGATGGCCACATCGATTCAAGGTCACCTCGCTCGTTTGCGCGGTCGAGTAGTTAAAATTGTAAATTTCTACCGCCGCGTCACGATGCACGATTCCCGGGAAGTTCTCGTTCGGCGTGTTCGCGCGATTGCGGCGGCAAATTTAAACATTGCTGCACGATGACCTTGAGCAAAATTAAAGAGTGCTAAAACTCGATTCTCTGTACAAAATAATCACTAGCTACAAATGAATTGCTTGTAGTACTTATTCACGGTTTAAAAAGGAAGGAATCATGAAGTGCCTTAATACGCCAGTCATTACGACACACACCTGTTAACATGGTTCCATGTTCGACATGAAGCCTGGTCTCTTAGCGACAGAGTTACAAGCACTAACGTGTGGCCGTGTGATGGACTATTCGCCTGCCACGCAGAAAGCCCGAGTTCAAATACCGCTCGATCCAGGATATTTTTCTTGGTCATTAGGCGCGATAGCGGTTACGAATGCTGGTATTGGTTCCAGAATCCGCTGTTGTGATCTTATAGCAGCTTTCGCTGTAGAAATGAATCGGTTCCACTAAATGTTAGGTCCTGCAGCAGGTAGAACATCAGGATGAAATATTTTGAGAGTGAGGCATGTCACAAGAGTACATTTCTAAAAACATGTTTATTTCTAGATGATGGCATACTGCTGGTATAAGATTTCGCGCACTTTGAAGTAGTCTTCACACAGGCAACCTTCAATGTTGATTCTGCCGGCTTCATTCTGCAAAAGATCAGAGACATGTTACAACTAGAATAACAACAAATGCCGCAGCTACATCAACTCGATGGAGTTACCGCGCTGCTACGCAGCAGCTTTCAACGGCTGTTGAGTGATTCAGGTATTTCTCACAATTGGGTTGAACACAGAAATGATAGCAGTACCGAAATACACTTGCACACAATACTTTACAAGACACGAGTCCAATAATAGATGTGGATTCCTATTCGGTTAAATAGTGGCATAATAACACTTTTGGAACTGCCTCAAAACTCTGCCGAGGCTCTTGTCACATACATGTTAGCCAAATATCACTGCACTCAGCATAGTTAATTTACGATGTTGTCAAAAACAGCTGAATATCACAAAGTGCATAGAAGGTTGGAGTGTGCGGGCACTACAGGTGTTCGCTGATCTCATGACTGATCATATGATCAATGAAGGTGGCACGTAGACTCAGAGATATCGTGCACCAGCATTGACCTTAGAGGCCACATGTCGTGTAGATAGAGACAACAATGGAGTGCTGGAAGTGTGTCCGTTGGGACGCATCACTTCTCGCATTGTATAATGACGGATATGAAATCCACAACGTTGACAATCATTTCTGGCTGAATGCAATAGGCCTGGAATACAGGCCTTCCTCAGCTAAATACTAGACGTGCGCGAATATTCGAAATTTCGAAGCGTTAGCTATTCGTTTTGCTTTGAAATTTCACTATTTTAAACTATTTGAATTTCCCAAAGACAAATACAGCCAACTCCAATTGCCAGTGGCCCCTTCAAATTTTCAATGTGCTTCACCTCATCACATTCTTGTATTGCGGCTAAGCTGCCTCTCAAGCTCTGCTACAGTTGTAAATGTATTGAATAAAAAAAAAAAAAAACTCTTTCGAACATTGGCGATGATAGATGTGACAGAGGTAGGTGATAAATTAATGCTGTTTTGGACCAGAAATTTGGGCACGAAGTATGAAAAATCTGATGCCGAAGATTTTTAGCATCTAAAATTTCAGGTGTTTTTATACCCATGTCACACGGGCACTTTCGAAAGGCCATCAAAATGCTGCAGCTCCATCAACTCAATAGAGTTATTGTGCTGCTAAACAGCAGCTTCCACTGGCTGTTGAGTGATTCATGTATTTCTCACAATAATTGGGTGGCGCACAAAATCTTTATTTTCGCTTTCATGTTATCGTAAGTGAAATAATATACATACACACACATATGCATCTATAATTTTTCTGTAAATATTTAAATAAATTGTTTAGACATACTTATCAATGCATCATGTTCCGTTTTGATGACATGTGGGGTTCAACGTCCCAAAACCACCATATGATTATGAGAGACGCCGTAGTGGAGGGCTCCGCAAATTTTGACCACCTGGGGTTCTTTAACGTGCGCCCAAATCTGAGCACGTGGGCCTACAACATTTGCACCTCTCATGTTCGGTTTTAAGTATTTAAGAAGCGAAACAGTGGCGTCTTTGTCACCAGCACGTTGCTGTGGTCGAGAGTATGAGCAGTTCGGACAATCCAAATAGCAAAAATACAAAAATACTTGCATGGTACTTTTAAAACATAATGGGGCAATTTTTGTTTTTCTAATCGGGGGTTCGGGCACACTGTTTCCGCTTCCGTTGCTCAATAGCTATTGACGTCTCAGCGGAGTTGTGGGGCGTTAAGTTTACTCGATACACTATTGACTCAATGGCTTTCGAAACCGCCTGTGTGGCAGCTCATGCAACACTGCTATTACACAGATAGACATCTGCAAGGCAGATTTGGAACTCGGAGGGAGCACATCGTTGTCTGCCACATCAGTTGGGCTTCCCCACATGTTGAACGAGGAGGAGAGACCGAGGAAATGGCGCCTCTGCCATTCGTGTGTTGTGGGTAACAATTTAGTTGCCCCAAGTCATGCACATAGATACAATGCCTAGTTCTTATAAGGTAGCTATGAAGCACCAACTGCCAGTGCTTCATCAACCTAGCCAAAATAAACACTTTCATGTTGTTATTCCTTAAAATTATGCCTAGAGATCCCTTCCGACTTTTTATCCCACAATTTCACTTCAGGGCATTAGAAAAATATTTTAGAAATGTTAGAGTAACATTAGAAAAAATGTTCAATTCACGCTCACATATTAATATTCGAATGGGCTTTGTACCCAAAATATTGCTATTCACACAGCTCTACTAAATACCCTATTTGCTCACATACCACCAACATCGCTTAGAGTTGGCCGAATGTTGGTTACTGTAAGTTATCCGCTGCTATAAAACCAACATTGTCTTCTTAAATGCTTGTGCCACAGAGGCACATAGAATGGCATTACCTTCCAAGCAACTCAAGATTTAATGCCATTTGCATGGTGCCACACTGGTGAACCTTGGCATAAACATAGCATCATTTGCCACAATTCATTAAACTGTAAAGTGTACTTTTTGTGCAATGCAGTGTGCTTGGAAACATTTCAAGTATGCCCAAACTTTAATATAATGAACATAGATATGACGAAATATTCATTATAATGAAGTAAATAAGAAACAGTCTTGCAATAAATATGATGTTAGGAATAACCCTTATAATAAATCTTCAGATGTAACGACCGAAACACAAATTTGTTATACTGAGGTTTGAGTGTAGACTATCGCGTAGAAAATATTTCATACTTGACTTCGACAAACCTCATTTTATTTCCTAGATGCACTGGGAAAAATTTATTTCAACATAGCAATGGCTTTAATATGGTAGGCGTCGCATTGCTCCTACACTTCAGATTCAATGTGGAATGGTTGTGGTTGGTTGCAATGCTGTAAAAAAAACTCAAGCTTATGTCACGAACGTATGCTTAATTACTCATTTCACTAGTCTTGAATGCAGAATAAACAAACTTGTAAATGATGTGCACTCATTGTTTATTACCCTATTAGTACCACTATTAGTGCTATCAGCATTGTCAGGTCGAATGTATTCCAATTCGGACATGTGACAGCTCACCCCCCCCCCCCCAATGGCCATTCAGGAATTTAAGGCCCCAAATACTAAACCTTGCTTGTGACCGTGTGCCATGGGCGTTAATCTCAAGCCAATAGCTTTGGACTAGATTCTTCAAAATGTTGTGACCGTGTAACAGTACATTTGCTAAATAAGTAGCATGTTGTTTCTCGAAAGCAAACTTAGATTCATTCTTACTGATAAAAAGTTACCCAGGCTTGAACAGACACTGTCAAAATTCATGGCGTTACAGCGAGATGTTGTGGGAACTTGAAATTCCGATCTGTCTGTTGTTGCTGCATTTTTTTTTCTGATTTGTCACAACAAGTCACACAAAAAAAATTCAGCCTCTTCTCAGAGCAATGCCCATACGCTCAATCATGTCACTGTCACAGCATCGGTGTCCGTCATTACAGAGCATTTCTTTAGAGCAGCTGTTTCTTTAAACGACAGGTTGGTGGAACTATTAAAAAATGCTGGCTGATGCCATCGATGTGACATTACCTACAGGAAAGTAGGGAGAAGACAGTGCTCCACAAAGGACACTGGTGCCGTGACGTGACAGTATTGGACGGCTGCATGAATTAGGCACTAAGACAGACAACTTATGGTATGGCACAACCAAAGGAATCTAGCAGATGACAGACAGCTTGAAAAATAGGCACCCCGCATGCGTGAACAGGTTTGTTTGCAACCAGATAGCCTCGACCACAGACTAGCGACAAACAACTTTTTCCATTCACTTTTCCTCTACCTTCTCTTGTTGCACGAGGGGAACATATAATGAGGCATGACATTTCTGCAGTGTGCTTTGAGATGTCTTTGTGGTGCTTCTGTACCTTTGCTGGAATGTGAAGGGGTGAACGTGCTTAGAGCTAGAAAAGTAGTCTGGGAACAGGAGGCTTTGGTTAGAAAATATTGCTGCAGGAAAGTCAACTTACACACTGGGCTAACGTAAGCGTATTGTTGTGTTTAACTGTAGTGTGGTAATTATGACATTGATTAAAAGGAATTAAAGTGGACAGAATAGCACTTCTTCCAGCATAGATGGGATCCAAACCTGCAACTTTTGAGTTACATGTCCGATGCTGTGCCAATCGAGCTACGATGGAAG